TTCTTGGATTGGAAGACTCAATATTGTGAAAATGACTATCCTACCCAAAACAATCTACAGATTCAGTGCAATCCCTATCAAATTACCAATGACATTTCTTACGGAACTAGAACAAAAACGTCTTTAAATTTGCATGGAGACACAAAAGACCCCGAATAGCCAAAGCAATCTTGAGGGGAAAAAATGGAGCTGGAGGAATCAGACTTTGACTTCAGACTATACGACGAAGCTACAGTAATCAAGACAATATAGTATTGGCACAAAGACAGAAATACAGATCAGTGGAACAGGATAGAAAGCCCAGAGATAAACCCACGCACTTATGGTCAACTAATCTATGACAAAGGAGGCAAGGATATACAATGGAGAAAACACAGTCTCTTCAACAAATGGTGCTGGGAAAACTGGACAGCTATATGTAAAAGAATGAAATTAGAACACTCCCTAACACTATACACAAAAATAAACTCAAAATGGATTAAAGACCTAAATGTAAGATTGGACTCCATAAAACTCTCAGAGGAAAACATAGGAATAACACTCTTTGATGTAACTCACAGCAAGATCTTTTTTGACCCATCTCCGAGTAATGGAAATAAGAACAAAAATAAACAAATGGGACCTAATGAAACTTAAAAGCTTTTGCACAGCAAAGGAAACTATAAACAAGACGAAAAGGCAACACTCAGAATGGGAGAAAATATTTGCAAATGAAATCAATGGACAAATGATTAATCTCCAAAATATATGAACAGCTCATGCAGCTCAATATTAAAAAAACAAAAAATCTAAAAATGGGCAGAAGACCTAAATAGACATTTTTTCAAAGAAGACAGACAGATGGCCAAGAGGCACATGAAAAGCTGCTCAACAGCACTAATTATTAGAGAAATGCAAATCAAAACTACAATGAGGTATCACCTCACACTAGTTAGAACAGGCATCATCAGAAATCTACAAACAACAAATGCTGGAGAGGGTGTAGAGAAAAGGGAACCCTCTTGCACTGTTGGTGGGAATGTAAATTGATACAGCCACGGTGGAGAACAGTATGGAGGTTCCTTAAAAAACTAAAAATAGAATTACCATATGACCCAGCAATCCCACTACTGGGCATATACCCAGAGAAAACCATAATTCAAAAAGACACATGCACCCCGATGTTCACTACAGCACTATTTACAATAGCCAGGTCATGGAATCAAGCTAAATGCCCATGGGCAGATGAATGGATAAAGAAGATGTGGTACATATATACAATGGAATATTACTCAGCCATAAAAAGGAACGGAACTGGGTCATTTATAGAGATGTGGATGGACCTAGAGACTGTCACACAGAGTGAAGTAAGTCAGAAAGAGAAAAACAAATATTGTATATTAATGCATATATATGGAATCTAGAGAAATGGTACAGATGAACCTGTTTGCAAGGCAGAAACAGAGACATAGAAGTAGAGAACAAACATACAGACAGCAAGGGGGGAAAGCAGTGGCGGGGTGGGGTGGGGTGGTAAGAATTGGGAGATTGGGATTGACATATATACACTAATATGTAAAAAATAGATAACACGGGGTCTACTCTTCGTTGCAGTGTGCGGTCTTCTCATTGCAGTGGCTTGTCTTGTTGTGGAGCACGGGCTCTAGGTGCTTCAGTAGCTATGGCACATGGGCTCAGTCGTTGTGGCTTGCAGGCTCTAGAGCGCAGGCTCAGTAGTTGTGGCGCACGGGCTTAGTTGCTCCGCAGCATGTGGGATCTTCCCAGCCCAGGGCTCGACCCCATGTCCCCTGCATTGTCAGGCGGATTCTTAACCACTGCACCACCAGGGAAACCCCCTCATTTTTGCCACTTTTATTCAACATAGGTTTTGGAAGTTCTAACCATGGCAATCAGAGAAGAAAAAGATATAAAAAGGAATTCAAATTGGAAAAGAAGTAAAACCATCACTGTTTGCAGATTACATGATACGATACACAGAAAATCCTAAAGATGCTACCAGAAAACTACTAGAGCTCATCAATGAATTTGGTAAAGTGACAGGATACAAAATTAATACACAGAAATCTGTTGCATTTCTATACACTAACAACAGAAGATCAGAAAGGGAAATTAAAGAAACAATCCCATTTACCACTGCATCAAAAAGAATAAAATACCTAGGAATAAACCTACTTAAGGAGCCAAAAGACCTGTACTCCAAAAACTGTAAGACACTGATAAAGAAATCAAAGATGACACAATCAGATGTAAAGATATACCATGTTCTTATATTAGAAGGATCAATATTGTCAAAATGACTATACTACCCATGGCAATCTACAGATTCAATGCAACCCCTATTGCATTATTGTACCAATGGCATTTTTTCACAGAAATAGAACAAAAAATGTTATAATTTGTATGGAGACACAGAAGACCCCAAACAGCCAAAGCAATCTTAAGAAAGAATAACAGAACTGGAGGAATCAGGCTCCCTGCCTTCAGACTATACTACAAAGCTACAGTCATCAAAACAGTACAGTACTGGCACAAAAACAAATATAGATCAATGTAACAGGATAGAAAGCCCAGAGATAAACCCATGCACCTAAATGTCCATCAACAGAGGAATGGATAAAGAAGATGTGGTACATATATATAAAGAATGAAATATATATAAAGAATGAAATAATGGATGGACCTGGAGATTATCATACTAAGTGAAGTCAGACAGAGAAAGACAAATATCATATGATATCACTTATACGTGGAATCAAAAAAAATGATGCAAATGAACTTATTACAAAACAGAAACAGATTCATAGACTTAGAAAATAAACTTATGGTTACCAAAGGAGAAAGGTGGGGGGGAGGGATAAACTGGGAGTTTGGGATTGATATATACACACTACTATATTTAAAATAGATAACCAACAAGGACCTATCGTATAGCACAAGGTACTATGCTCAATATTGTGTAATAACCTAAAGGGAAAAGAATTTGAAAAAGAACAGATACATGTATATGTATAATGAATCACTTTGCTGTACACCTGAAACTAACAAAATAATCAACTATACTCCAATAGAAAATAAAAAGTTTTTAAAAATGGATTAAAGACTTGAACTTAAGACCTGAAACTATGAAATTCCTAGAGGAAAACATAGGTGGTAAGTTACTTCACATTGGTCTTAGCAAATATTTTTTGGATTTGACACCAAAAGCTAAGGCAACAAAATCAAAAATAAACAAGTGGGACTACATCAAACCAAAAAGCTCCTGCACAGCAAAGGAAACCATCAACAAAACGAAAAGGCAGGGACTTCGCTGAGGTCCAGTGGTTAAGACTCTGCGCTCTCAATGTAGGGGGCCCAGGTTTGATCCCTGGTCAGGGAACTTGATCCCACATGCTGCAACTAACAGCCTGCATGCCGCAACTAAAAGGGCCCGCATGCCACACCTAAAGATCCCGCACGCAGCAACGAAGATCCTGTGTGGCACAACTAAGACCCAGTGTGGCCAAATAAATAAATAATAAAACAGCAACCTACTAAATGGGAGAAAATATTTGCAAATCATATATCTGATAACGGGTTAGTATCCAAAACATATGAAGAACTCATACAACTCAACAGCAAAAAAATAGTCAAATTAAAAAATGGGCAGATCTGAATTGACATTTTTCCAAAGAAGACATACAAGTAGCCAACAGGTAGACAAAAGGTGCTCAACATCACTAATCATGGGGGATATTATGGAAATCATAACAGGTATGAGATACCACCTCATACCTTTCAGAATGGCTATCATTAAATAGACAAGAAATAACCAGTGTTGGTAAGGCTGTGGAGAAAAGGGAACCCTTGTGTATTGTTGGTGGGAATATAAATTGGTGCAACCACTATGGAAAACAGTATGGAGGTTCCTCAAAAAATTAAAAATACAACTACCATATGATCCAGCAATTCCACTTCTGGGCATTTATCCAAAGATAATGAAAACACTAACTTGAAAAGATATCTGCACTCCTATGTTCACTGCAACATTATTCACAATAGCCAAGATAAGAAATAACCTGTGTCCATCAACAGATGAATGGATATAGAAAAAAATGTGTGTGTGTGTGTATATACATACACACACACACACACACATATATATATAATGGAATATTATTCAGCCATAAAAAAGAAGGAAATCTTGCTATTTGCAACAACATGGATGGACCTTGAAGGCATTATGCTGAGTGAAATAGGTCAGACAGAGAAAGATGAATAAGACAAATACTGTACAAACTTCAAGTAATAAATAAGTCATGGGGATGTAATGTACAGCATGGTGGCTTTAGTAACTAATACTGTAGTGCATATTTGGAAGTTGTTAAGAGAGTACATATTAAAAGTTCTCATCACAAGAACAAAAACGTTTTGTAACTAGTATGGTGACAGATGTTAACTAGACTTATTGTGATCACCTCACAATATAAACAAATAGCTAATCACGTTGTCCACCTGAAACTAATATGTCAATTATACCTCAATTAAAAAAGAACACTTAATGTCCTTCTAAGAGGGGACTCCCAGTGTCCCTCTCTCAGGAGGCTATGTACTAACTGGGGAGTCTGAGGGGAGCCTCCCCATCCTAAGAGAACCATGGAGGAGGTCAGATGAGGGACAGCTTGTCCTCCCCAGGCTGGTCCTGGGAGCTAGTTAGCTGGCCTGTGCTGGGGGAGGGGATGTCAGAGTCCTTCAGAAGTGCTTGGCAGAATCAAGGCAGGAGCAGGGAGACCTAAGGCTCTCCGCCCCTGCTGCCACCCAGTCAGCTGGGCTTCTGTTTTCTCTCCCAGAGTTTGTGTTGGTCTCCCTTGTGGAAAAGGGTGGGCAGCCTAGGAGAGCGTGGAAGCCCTCCACCACCGGCTTACAGGCCAAGTAACAGCTCCCAGGCCTGGCACACACAGCACCTGGACAGGGTTCTTCCTCCCCTCACACAGTCCTCCTGACTGTCGCTCCCCAGACCTTACCTGAGAAAAAGAAAGATGGTTCTCGGGGACTTGGCCCTCGGGTTCTCGGGGACCTGGCGTTCCAGGTGTGGCCTGAGGGCCTCTAGCAGTCCTGGGTGCAGCTTCTCAGCCTCATCTAAAATGAACAGGGTCTGGTGGCAGTGCTCCTGCGTCTTCCTGATCTGGCCTGCCAGCTGCTCCTGCACAGAATACAGGGAGCTGCTGAGGTGCAGTGGGAGGCACCTTCTATCCCCGAGGGCCCTGGTGAGGCACTGGTTTCCCCAGGGCGCCTGCAATGGATCACCTGGAGCTGGTTTCCGCCGCAGAACCACCAATCCAAACCTCTGGGGGTGGAGCTAGGGCATCTGCCTCTAATGAGCTTCCCAGGTGATTCTCCTGAGCCCTGAGGTTTGAAAGCCAACTAGGTGGAGCCAGCCTGGGGAAAGGGAGAGGGCCTTTGGGAAATGGCCCCAGCCATGCTCCCTCCCCTTCAGGATGAGGTTCCGTCCCAGAACTAACCCTAACTCACCCTCCCCAGGGATAGGATTCAGGCTCTCACAGGGGGGTGATAGGCAGAGATAGGCTTGAATGCCCACAGGTGCCGTCTTGAACTCCCACAAGCAGAGCACCCGCTGGCACCAGGCTGGGCTCTCAGGGAAGAACCCAGGGGAGGACTTGTTTGGGACCCAGCCAACTCAAAACTGGGGTTCCCCACCCCAGGCAGGATAGTAAGCCCTCTAGTGAAAAGATGCTGCTCTACAGGGTTCAGGAGAACAGGGCCAGCTCCTGCCCCAGGGTGGGGTGTTTTAGCAGAGCCCACATTCACCATCTACCTCTAGCCTTCCTGGATTCTGACTTCAGCCCCATCTCCCCATAGTGTGTGTGAGAGGATGGGCAGGGATGAGAGTGATTTTCACAGCGAGGAAGCTGAGATTCACAGCTGTTTTACTGCAAAGCCAGCCAGTTCTTTCTGGGAAGGCCCGGCTGACCAGCTGCCTGCTCTTTTAACACATTAGCCTACCCCTGCCCTCCCGGGCTGCACTGAAAGATTGCCAGGCAATCTGTCCTCAAAGGCTTACATAATCTTCCCAGGTTAACACACTACAAATATTGGAACTAAAAGCCAAACGTAGACACAACCACCTCTGTCATGCTGCAGTGGGGTTTGGTCATCGTCTGGCTAACATGTCTGAATGAAACCCAAAATAGCAGAGCAGCAGAGACACTTTCTGTCCTCCACTTGCTGACATATAATGAGTAGTTTGGGGAAGACGTGGAAAAATCACTTTCGATAAGCCTGTTTAAAAAAACAGTGGGATATGCAACTTTTTGTCCAATATAATTACAGTGACATAAAAGAGCACAGGGGAATGGCCTGAAGGAAGTACACCAAAATGCTAACTGTGGCGGTGTCCGTGTGGGGAGATCATGATAAAGTTTTTGCTTTCTCTGTTCCACACTTCCTGAGGCACTTCCACTACTCCTGTGACAGAAAAATCAACACACGAAGTCTCTGGTTAAGCTCAGTGTCTGGCCTCTCCTGTATGGCTGGGAGGGCGACAGCTCGGGACGAATAGCGTTTGGGACATCACTCTTTCCTCCACGTGTTCAGGGCCTCATCTGTGTGGAGTGGATGCCTCTGTGGGTTACAGGTTCCCTTGCAACTGCGCCCCCGTCCTCCAACCGCCACACCCAGGGCTGGCTTCAGCCCCCCTCCCAGCACAGGGGCCTGCGCCTCAGCTGCCGGAGCCTTACCCGGGCTCGGCCCCACTGGCCCAGCTCCCCGGCACGGCCGGCCTCACCTGGTACAGGTCCACATACTTGTGGTGAGGAAAGTGCAACGTGGCGACGAACACCTTGACACAGTCGCTCCTCAGCCCGTCCCGGTACAGGTTCTCTGCCAGCATCCGTGCCACGAAGTTCTTGCCTGTGCCAGACCAGCCGTGGAACGACAGAGCCAGGGCCTTGTCTGGCTGGGGCAGCTCCAAGTAGCCCCTGGCTGCTGTCAGGACCAGCTCCCGGGCCAGGTGCTGGCCGTGCAGGCGCACGCGCAGATCCGCCTCTAGGCCTAGGGCCAGGAAAGAGCCATGCTGAGAGGTGCCCACAGGTGCATCCCCACCAGGCTCAGCGACAGCTGAGAGACTGAGCACGCATAGACTGAGCGTCTATGAGGTGGGAGCCATCCTGTTTGGTGGCCTCAGGACAAGAAGCCACTGGGCAGACCTTGCAGCGGAAGAGATCCAGGGCTATTTTCTGAAGAGTTTGAGAAATCAACGTTGACTTCACCCTTTCTGAAGGTCCTGAAGACACCCCAGAAAGGTTGGCAGAAGCCCATCCGGATGAGGAAGTTGCTCCCGCCCAGAAGTTTCAGGACCCCCTAACTATTTTATGGAGACACCCTCATTGTATTCATTCTAATTCAATTCAGCCAACACCTAATGGAGGCAGCTAGTGTGTGCAAAGCCCTCCTCCAAGGCTTTCCTTCCTCTCAGCCATGAGGTCGCAGGGTTTCGATCAGGAGCCGTGGTGGAGACAGGGAGGGTGTGCTGCCAGCTGTGGGCAGGCAGAGGTTGGGTCCCTTCATCCTAGCATTTTCCTGAATTGCCTCCCCTCCCCACAGATTCCTGGGCCTTAGGGCCATGTAAGGTCCAACCTGTGAAGTTATTGACGATCCTGCAGTCCCCACTGTCACAACAGTCCTGGAAGCTGCAGTACCAGGTGGTCAGGATATCCAGGTACTGCTGGCCCAACAGGGGAAGGCTCCAGCCTGGAAAAGGAGGAGCTGTGAGACAGGGACGGAGCCCAGGGCCCAGGGAGAGCTGAGCACTGCCTCCCTTCTCCTGTCCTCTCTCCAGAGCCACTCCCTGCTGCTCTGCCCTGGGCCTTCCTTGTGCCGCACTAGGGAATGGGCACAAATGGGCACCTCCGGCTATGAGGAAGTAGATGGCCTTGCTATACATAGATGCAGCTCCGGCTGCAGCAAAAGCTCAGTTTACTCAACAAATAAGCCTTAAGCATTTGTGCCAGACGTGTAAGAAACCCAAGCCCTGCCTGCAAGGAGTTTGGAGCCTAGGAGGGAGACACATAGTAACTGGTGATTATTATTCTTTCTACTTGCTTTGGATTGCAGAATCATCTGATCACGGCCAACCCCAAGTGTCTCGATTCTTTTATCAAATATCAGTTTGAATATGCCCAGCGTTAGCAAAAACGAAACAAAAACCATTCACTGGAATTCAGAACTCTCGATTTAAATGGAAGATGTTTCTAGCACCACTGCAGCATTACCGTTACAGTACTATTACAGGACCTAGAAGTAACGACATCGACTGCAAGGAGCTTCAGAGATCACTAGGTCCACGACCGTGACGTGACAACCTTGCCTCACGATTTGTCAGTGACAGAGAATAAATCAGAACTCAGGTCCGGTGGACTCATAGCCCAGCCTCCGCCGCCATAAGCAGCAAAGGGGAAGAAGGTACTTGGGGATGTATCCAACCGGGGATTTTCCTTAAAGCCATCAAGAAGGTGGGCAAGGGCAGCTCCTTGGAATGATGCCAGGGCAGGTTCGGAGACAGCAAGGAAGTGTGATCCGTCTGGAGGAGTCAAGAACGGGTGACGTGGGGGAGCGCAGCCAGGTCCACTCGTATGCACTAGGGCGCTGCGCCAGGGCTGGGAACGAGGGCAGTGACGGGCCTTCCTGGTCCCGCAGAGGCTCCCTGCCCTCAGCCTGGCCCAAAGGCTGGGCGGAATAGCAAAGCCGGCGGCTAAGGCGCCCGCCTCGTGACCCCGATCACAATGGCCCAGGGCAGGCGCGAGGCTGACCTCCGTGCCCGGATTCCATCGTGCCTCGCGCACCCAGCCCGCGCTCTCCCGCCCTCCCGAGCCGGCGGGTCTTACCCGGGGGCCGCGCCGGCGGCTCCTCATCCTGCCTGCATCCCTCGGGCCACACGCGGCAGCTGAAGAGAGCCCAGTAGCGTCTGCAGAGGGCGCCGGCCGCCCTCAGCCGCTCCCGCAGGCCCTGGAAGGCCGACCAGGACCCGGCCGAGCCCGCCTCCTCGGCTCCCTCCCTCGGCCTCGCGCGGCCGCCGTCTCCCCACGTGCCCGGGGGCAGCAGCAGCAGCAGCAGCAGGAGCAGGAGCCAGAGCGGACTCCGCGGGCCGCGAAGCATGGCCGGGTCGGCAGCCGGTCCCTCCGCCGCCCGTCCCTCCGCCGCCCGTCCTCCACGGCCCTTTCCAACCCCCGGTGGGCGGGGCGGCGCCGGCACTTCCGAGGCCCGGATTGGCCGGGGATTGGCGTTGCCACGGGAACCGCAGGCGGGCAGAGCTCGCCTCCCATGTGACCCAGGGCGAGCCAGACGCCGGCCGGGAACCGAAACCCGGATGGTGCCCCGGAAGGCATCCCGAGGCCGCTTGCAGGCGCCGCCCACCCACCGGGGACTCGCTGCCAGGCAGCAAGCAGTCTCTTCTGGGTGATTGTGGTTGCAAAGAAGTTGAAATCAGGCCTTAAGATGGCCACTGTCAGTAATCACCCAGATACTTCCGGGCAGCTCTGGTGGCCCATCTGAGGCCTACTTAACACGGGCACCCACTTGTGCCCTGTCCCGTGTCTGCAGATCAGCTTCTTGCCAACCTGTTAGACGAAGTCGGGCAACCATCTCACCCAGGAGCTTGAGTCAGCCCGGGCGTGGCTCCTCTACAAAGGGAAATGAAACAGTAGCAAATAATCAGCAGGTTTCCACAGCTGGAGTCCACCAAAAGCAAGAGGAAGCTGGTGGGCTCCAGTCTGGAGATATTTGGGCTTTGGAAGCTCCCAGAGCCATGGGAAAATCACGAGGTCTCATATCAATGTTATCATAGCCCATTAAAAACAAGTTAGGCCGAGTACTGGGTGCACTTCCTTGGCTTTAAGTTTGCAACTTTCAAATGCTTGTGGCTGTGAGCAGCTTCTCAGACACCACTGGCAAAAGACCTTGGAGCCTCTTTCCTGGGACTCTGTTCTCATAACCTGAGCAGGTAACAAGGTCGCTACATTTTGGAAGAGCTTAATGCATTTTTCAAAATCACCTGAGTTACTGAAGCCACTGGCCTAAGAGCCGTCTTGTCCTAGAAAGAAACTGCTGTCTCGAAATCATGGGACTTGACTAATTTCATAGGCTCAGTGGCTTTGAGGCTGGCCTCTCCATACAATAAGGTGAATCCTAGCACCAGATCTGTCACAGCCAAATTGATTCATATGTTCATTCCAGTCTCTTAGATAACACTCAATGCCAGGTCTGTTCCTTCCTCAAGAGCTCACCAAATGTGCTCCTGCCTTTAATTCAAACAGCAATAGAGAAAGAAAAAGACTTACAAAAACAAATCCAAAACAATTAACAAAATGGCAATAAGAATATACGTATTGATAATTTACAAAAGAGGAAAGAAAAAAAAAGACAAGACAAACAGCTGCATATATCAGATAAGCACCTGTGTGAGGATACCAAGAAAGTGAAATTGAAAAGCTACATTATGTATGCATATTGTATGTTTTAGTCATCCAGAGTGACGTCAGAACTGAACTCAAACCTTCCACAGAGCAGTTGCTAGTACACCAGCGCTGAGTCATCTGCAGTCAAGCTCGTGAAACCCTTGGAAGGACAGTTAACAAGGAACACACCATTATGCTTATTTGGAAATTGAAAACATTAACTCATTCAATAAATGTTGTTTGAGCATGAATGGCAATCTAGTATAGTGATTAACTGAATGGCCCCTTTTCTGATATGTCACTTTGGGTGTTACTTAACTGTCCTATGCCTCAGTTTCCCCACCTCTAAGAGGGGATAATAAAATGGTCACTTCATAGGCATGCTGTGAGGGCTAATGAGCTTATTCAGTTCTACATTAACCTTTATTATTGTAAATGCCCCCGCCTTGGAGGAGACTGGTCTATACAGGAGGCTTTGGAAGACTTTATTTACACTTGTGAACTTCACAGGTGAATTTATGGTGATAAAATTACTAGTATTTACCCTGGCTTCTTTTTTTAAAAAAATCCATGTTTTAAGACTATGGAAATAATTCTCTACTGGTAACTTTCATGTAGGTCTGATAATTTTTGAGATTGGATTTTTATTTGGATTTCACATTTCATGGTAAATAAAGCAGGTAGCTTGGAAGTTCTTGGACAATTTGATTTCAAGACATCTTTTTCCGGAAAGAGTAAACTTTTTTTTTTTTACCAGATCAGTCCCACATAGAAACAATGAATCCAAACACCAGTTTTTAGCTAAGCCTCTATTTCAGGTAAATTGCTAATATTTCATTCTCAGTGCTTGGAAGCTACTGGTTGTAACTCTAGGAGCAAGATCTCATAGATGATGGGGACATCTAGAGGCTTTTGTGAAAACTACGGGTAGCTTTGATTCCTTAGTGCTACTCATGAATGGCCCAAGGACCAGTGGCACTGGCATTGCCATGGAGCTTGTTAGAAATGCAAACTCAGGCCCCAAACCTACTCAACCAAGATATGCATTTTAGCACAGCCTTTCAAAGAGAAAATGGGCACACAGCACCTTTATTGAGGTCATCTGAATGGGACCTAGCTTTGCAATTAGACAACTTCCCTACCCTGCTGAAGGCCGTCAGAACACCATCCGCCTTGAAAACAACCTTTGGGTAAAAATCAAGTCTTTATCGCCAAATAAATTTGGCATGTAATAAGCAAACTCTGAAAAGATAAAATGAATGTTTCACAGCTAATCTATAAGCCAACGGCTCCTTTAACATCTATGAAGAGCAACTGAAGCATCACAGTGGACTGAGACTTCCTCTCAAGAGGCAGGGCACACCTGATGAAAACCAAAGGAAACCCCTGAAGGGTTATTTCTGGTGACACAGGTACTGAAAACAGAGTACAGGCCCAGGAAGCTCTGTGTCTTCCACACACACGGCTTTGCATTTCTGGAGTCAGGTTCTACACACACCACATGTCAAGCCTGGATTGATCTCCCCTTCTTCCCCAAGGTAGGTCTGCCTACCTCTCACTCTCAACCTCCTGTGATTCTTTCCTGCTCCTTATTTCCACTCTAATTCACACGATTCCTGAGGCATTTGGTACTTCACAAGTAGTCTCTTCTGCTAGGACTATGGGCTCCTTGAAGGAAGGGGCAGTCATTATCATCTTGATGGCCTCCAGCACAAGGCCCAAGTGTCTACTGAAGACCAGTACTTTACACACTGTGACTTCATTCTCTAATTCCCTCGGATTTATAAAGTGGCTTATCTTACAGAATTCACCCACGCTAAACCAGTGGTTATGACCATTCTTGTCTATTTTACAAAATGAGGGCTGCTAAAAATCAGTTTTTATAGGCAAATACAGTGGGTAAAATGAGCCCATAACAGAACCTCTCCCTCCTTACTCCCAGCTGCCTTTTCAGGCTTTAATATTGGTCTTTCTGGTATGCTTGAGAAGAAAATGAAATCTCACCTGGAAAATGATCGTATGAGGTGAGTCAGCGAGGAACCTGTTAACTAGGCTTTAGCCTCCCTTTGGTATTCAAGTGCAAGTGACAAAAACTGGCACAAACAAAAATGCTACAAATCAAGTAAAAATCTTGAGAACTCTGCTCAGTTGTCTGGTTGAGGTTTATGATGCTGCATTTCCATTTCAAAATTTAAAAGTCTGGGTGTCCTAAGAATTATAATCAGGGCAGCTGGTCTCTTCTTCCAGGCCTCTATGATACTGTGCTGACAAGTTCTTTGGGATTCATAATTCTTTATCTCTAAAGAAGCTGAAAGAAAGAAGTTAACTATTAAATAAACAAAAAGCACCTAAGAATTATCCTACTGAAATTCTCGGTTCAGTCACAACCTGATATGGGCCTTCTGAAGACTAGTGAGAAGTGTAAAGGTCTCATCCGTAGATTCTGTGAAACAATCCCTGTGGAAGTTTATGTGGATGAAGAAGATGTAATCTTCTGTCCCCTAACAAAACAGGAAATCGCAATTGAAAACAATGGAAGTATCCCGAACCGGGGTGGGGAGGTAGGGAAAGAATGAGGAAAAGATGGTACATCAGTACTTATTAAAATCTTTATTCATTTTCTTTCTTTCAGAATTGAAACCCACAGAACACATTAGAAATTTAGGTGCACATCTGTCTTGTTTGGTATCTTACCAAGCACAACCTCTATTTGTGCAACAGCTCTGAGAGGAAATCCTTGGCAGATCAAAACAGAGGGTAGTGGTTCCTACACCCCTCTTTGAAGCAAATAAATTAACTTCCCAGTAAGTTATTCCCAGTTCCCCCACAGACATTTTGTATTTGTGAGTAACACCTTAGTTCCTTAAAACCCTGTGGCAGTAGAGTATCCAGCCCTCACCTTTTCAACCCAGACTTGAGGCGTCGAAAGGGGAAAGCTGGCCTTCCCCTGTACAACAGTCTCATGAGGCTGGTCTATGTGCCTCGGGCGTCGGCCCTGGCTAGCACAGGAGGTGTTTGCTGAATGGATATCTTTATGTCACTTAGATTCACTCTCAGAGACTAAGAGAACCTTTTCCTAGCTTCAGGTTCTTCAGCAACAGTGTTTCCCTGTGTCAAAATAAATACATTTTTTCTTGTTAGAATACATATATGACTATATACATACATATACCTTGACTCATGTTTCCTGAAGCCCAAGCTCACAAGACGACTCACATAAGACAGCTCACTGATAGATGCTGTTTACCATCATTTGAGGTGTGGTCAGGTAATGGTCAAACAAGAATACGGAAGCTGTGGAGAAGGGAGAGTGAAGGAACATGGTGGATGGGAGGGGAAGGCCAAAAGCCTTTTTTTTTTTTTAAAGAAAGGAAAAGATGGATTTCTTTGGAAGAACATGTTGCCTTCAGGTGACGTGGAATTTCTGCCATGTATAGGATTCATCTTTCCCAAAATAATAGGATATACCTGAATTCTCCCATTTCCTTATTAGATTTCATTTGACATATTAATCCTGAGTGCAAATAGGGAGAAATGCCTTATTAATAAATTATTGAGCAATACTCTGAGTAAATCAGATCCTATTAATGTTTTGCACAGAAAATCATTTACCCCCAAAACCCAAAATACAGCTTCATATTAAATGACAATTCTTGAATGAAACCTCTATACCCATATTCGCCCAAACTATGGAATAAATATATTGGGTCGGCCAAAAAGTTCATTCAGGTTTTTTGTAAGATGGTGTGGAAAACCAGAATGAACTTTTTGGGCAACCTAATATTTAAGAAGTGGAAGAAGGGGGGTAGGAAATGGTACTCAGTTCTGATTTTCTTAGTTTTATAATATTAAAATGTACCCACATCTACCTTTAGATGTTAGCTAGGCACGCCCAGGTTAGGACTGATCAAAAACCCTTCCAATGACCCCCGTTTGATTATAATAGTCCTCGATTCTAAAAGATAAACCATCAAGAGGACAGTGTTACAAAACTTAAAAAAAAAGATATCTACCTCTTTTTTGAAACAGAATTTAGGGTTTATGAATTTTAGGGCTATAAGCTTATGGTTGGTTTTTTCCAAGATTCTAAACGTACTTTTGCAGCTTAATCCGATCCTGACTTAGAACATAAATTTATATTCTAAGCATCAGTTCACACCACTCTATTAGCATAATTCTAACTTTAACCACTATACATTTGAACACCTTTTAAGATCATGAATTTTAAAATAGGGAAAGAGAATGAGATTATACATTTTCTGCAATGTTTGGGAAAAAGAATGAGGCATTTTTCAAAGTAGCTTTTCCTCCTACTTTTTTCCTTAGCAGAATCTCCTGCCTTCAACATCATGAATAAAGTTCCCAGTTTGGGAACAGCTCTTATTCATTTCACTGGGGCATACTGAAGGCATCACATGTTTGCAAGAAATTTAGTTCAGCTAACATTTACCAAGGAGAGCAGCGTTGACTTCCCTCCCACTGTCCCTCCAGCTGGCTCCCTGATGCTCTGAGGTAAGCACCATCCAAGGTATTCTCAAGCTCAAATGTGAACTTCCCTGGATGCACATAGTAAATGAGTTTAAAATTGGAATTAATGCTTCCTTTTGTTAACACTAGCTCAGTGTTTTGTGCTACTACCTGTCTTCTTAAATTCAATACCTTTTTAAAAATAACTCAGCCCATTCTGTGTACACTGCCAAATGTACACACTAAAGTACGAAAGCGTCCTAATTTCATGTTACTTTAAGTGTTGTCTTTTTTTTTTTTTTTTTGCGGTACGCGGGCCTCTCACTGTTGTGGCTTCTCCCGTTGCGGAGCACAGGGCCTGGACGCACAGGCTCAGAGGCCATGGCTCATGGGCCCAGCCGCTCCGCGGCATGTGGGATCTTCCCGGACCGGGGCACGAACCCGTATCCCCTGCATCGGCAGGCGGACTCTCAACCACTGCGCCACCAGGGAAGCCCGGTCATGTTACTTTAAAGTAGTTTTGGGGTACTCAGTTATCTTTCAATTTGAGAAAATTGGGGCATAAATTCTAAACTGTTTTTGAAAGGGTGGCTACGTAAAACTGGTCTCCAATAGCTGGCAGTAAATTTGTTTAACCACACTGTTTAAATATTAGTGTCTGCTTCACAGAAGTCAAAACCGCAACAGTCCCCAGACAAAATGCAGGAGAGAAGCACCCACCTCTGAGGGCACGTGAGTGGGCACACCAGGCCTAGTTTCCTCTGCCCTGTATTTTAATGCAAGTGCTTATATGTCAAATCGCTTTGGCAGAACACAGAACTAAGCCTGTTTTAGCAACTTGAAATTTGAAAGTGCTAATAGGAGACGGAAGGACAATACTACATCGTGGGTTCAGAACTCCAAACAAGATTAAATGATGAAATCAGGGTTTGACATAAAGCAAAATCTTAAGGCTCTTCCTGGTAACCACCTTAATTTTAAGGCTCAGAAGGCTTAAAATCTTTGTTTCCAGCCTTCCACATGGCCCAAATCACAAGATAGGTCCAGCCACCAGCAGGATCTAAACTATATTATCCGTAGGAGCGAGCTGGCTTTCCTCACAAGAAAGGCACAAGTAGGATCGCCAATCTCTTGGGAACAGCAGCTTTAATGACCAAATGCCTTGAAGGCAGAAGTGGAAATTCATTTTAGAAATCAGGATGGCAGAGAAGACAGGCAACCTAACTCTTATTCAAGCTGTTATTTCAGTTTGCTTTGATAATTTGCAAAGGATTTGCCTGCTCTGGGCAAAAGGAAAAAAAAGTCTCCATAACAGAATTGTGCTTGGGTTGTAATGGTAGGTTCTCCAGGGACAATTTTTTGGATTAATTTGGACACAATTATGAGAATGCAAATCTTACTTAGGTACAAGTCATGCTTGCTTTTATATACGTTAAGAACTTAAATACAGGGGAACCTGTTTTTCACTAATTCAGTCACCGCCTTGATTCTGGTTCTACCAAGTAGGTCTCTCTCTCTTCTTCCCTCCTTTAAGAATCATCAAAAGCACCACCTACTCAGTTAAAAGCCCAAACATCTTTCTTGCTTTTGTCTTTCCTCTAATTCTATCTTAAAAACATAGTCCCTCCAACAGAGCATGCTACTTTGGCTCAACAGAATGCTGGGTTACTTGCTGCCACTCCTTAGGAAGCAGTAAAATTTCCAATTTGACTAGTCCTGGTAAGAAAGGACTCAAGAGATTACAAAGTGTTTTCGGAAAATCCACAAGTGTGGAGAAAGGATTATAAGGATGGACTCAAAACACATACTCCAGAACCAACCCCAACATTAATCTATTCAAATGTCACACCTCTAATTTGTCCTTTGGCATGAGAATTAATACTGACCAACTGTGACGCCCACCGCTAGAATGGGCATACGCCGAGGAAGTCAGAAGGTGGTTCAGCAGGTACAGCTCCGTGGTCTGAAACTTGTAGTCTTTGCTTCAACTTCTACTACAGCAAACACCAAGGCCACCCTGTCCCCTATCACCAGAATGTGCTGCTGGCCATTTCCAATCCACCTCATACCACTGGGAATTGATTGTGCTGTTTCTCTATCTTTGTAAAAAGAAGTTTCACTTATTTTGTGGAGAATTACAAGTGGGAGAGAGGCATCCTGTCTTCCACCAGCACTGCGTCCATCCCAAACTGGTCAGTGCACTGCTTCACGGTGGCCAGGACACTCAGGAGCCGCTGGTCCACAGCGTCTAGGTGAGGATCAGAGAGCACTGGGGAGATGGGGTCATGGGCCATGGCAGATTTTAAGGCAGACTTCAGCACACCATTCTTCAGGGAGTTCAGTCTGTTCCAGGTAGAAACCCGAATGCTGGGAGAAAAAAAGTTTTAGGACAGGTTACATAAAACCTCTCACTATCAAATGGAGATTAAAGCCCGCATAGCAGATGAAAGTAAAGAAATAATTATGTAAAATATCTCAACTAGAAAAATAATTTCTGTTTTAGAAATAGCTCTACATTATGAGTAAGTAACATATACCACATTTTGATATTTCTTTCTCAGTAATTAATGAGAAATATATACAATATTTACACATGTTCACTGCAGTGCTATTTGTAACAGGAAAAATGTGAAACAATCTGAATGTCCAACAACTGAGAAATAGTTAAATAAATTATGGCTTATCCATTCAAGGGAATACCATGCAGCCATTAAAAGCAGTTATGAAAATTCAGTGGCATGGGGAAATGCCCATGATATAATATTGAGTCAGGGAAAATAGTTGGAGGGAAAACACTCTTTTACTCCAAACCTGTGGGGAAAGAAAATGTGTGTATAAGCATACATACAAACATACACACACGATTACAATGAAATCACACTAGAGTGTTAACAGGAGTTATCCTTACATCTTAATAAGTAATTTAATTTCCTTCTTTTTATGTTTCTTAATTAAAAATTCTAGCAATATTATAAATAGAAAAAGTTTAAGGGTACCTATTTTTCTCAATTATTTTACCAACTAAAGAGGATCTCTTATTATCTTAGAAAAAAAGTATTTACCTCCCTGTGGGTAATGTGGGAATTACTAGGTATGCATTAAAGTCTGACTCTGCATGAGGCAGGCAACTTGTTCTGCAACCATTTAAAAAGTAAGAAAGCAAGGATCTTCGGATAAAGCATGGCAGGGATGGACAAGCACAGAGTCAGCGTGGTTTTACTCTTCTGAAAAATACTACAAGTGCCTAGAGCATTAGAGTTCCCCCTGTGTGACGAAGGTATCACTCGATTGCCTCTCAGCTCCAAGTTCACTCTTCATATATGCCCTGCTATAATGGACAGAGGTCCTTTAAGCATCTCTCCTCTTAGGCTTTCTCGGTAGAGGACACTGGAAGGAGACTGCAGAAGGAAGAGGTTCTCCAGACGCTTCTGGCTGCTGTACAGTGAGTGGGCCAGTAGTGTGCGGGGAAGGTCAGCAAATGAAACTCTGCCTTGGCCACATTTCCAGAACAGGTAGGCCCACCATGATGTTGCGGCCTTGGCCTGGCTTGGTGATAACTTTCCTAAGGCCCTCTTGACATGGAAACCAGAGCCCCCAAAGCCACGCACCCATGCTGGTGCCCCAATTCCCTGTGCAGGCCCACAAATAAGCCTTGCCTGTAGCCTGGAGGGTTTCTACTGAGTCGTTGCTCTCTCGGTATGTCATGCTACCACCTGCTGATTGCCTGTACCCTGCCTGCATTCTGGAGGGCTGCTTCCTGCACTCCCAGCACCTGCAAACTAGCACACTTCTCTGCTATTCAGTGGGCTGAACTATACCTTCTCCACTGAGGTCAAAACCCCAGGCTTGGGGAGGGGGATCCCCTTCCAAGTTTGTTCTTCCTTGGGTACTCTCCCTCAGCTCTAGTTTTCTTTTATAGTCACTCTTGTATGAAAGAGTTTAATAATTCTTATACTAAACTTTCCTGTTTAACCCACCATGTCTTTTCTATCTCCTGACTGGACCAGACTGATAGCACTATTAAAACAAAAACATCTTCCTTCACAGATACAGGTTTTGATTGGATGTATCACTGCTTCCCAATATTAATGAAGATAATTAAGGGTTGCCTAGGTAAACACTTTCTGCAGAATATTGTTGTTATGAAAAAAAGAAAGAAAAGAAAAGTAAAACAGACCAGTCGCCAGAAGAGGCAGTCTCACATGATCAGTGTGTCTCTGGGAGCCGAGCAGTAGGAAGCGGCTCTCCTGGACCTGCACTTCTGTGTAGCCAAGCAGGGTGGGTCCCAGCTGATTCTTAGTGTTCATGCTTTTAAATCATACTGGCAACGAAGATCTGAAAAGGAGCTCCCGAGAGCCCAGTCTTTATCTCATTTTCTTGATTTACTTTTTAATTTCTTTGTTATCTAATACAGACTTTAAAAAAATCAATTACTAAATACCTACGGAGAAAGCTACTTTTGGTTTACACAATTTCAAACTGAGATAAGCAAACCACAGGTGGGTTGTGGTGTTGAGTGAGAGGACTTGAAACCACAAGGTAAACATAGTACAGCAACTAGGGGCATGGGTTGCACTAGGTTTTGGGTGGGGGGGAGTGAGGACTATATTCTGATATTAAAACAAACATGGATATACATTATTGGATAAACTGAAAATTTCTACTCATACAAAACTCAAAATGCATTCTGAGCTTTGGGCTACACTGCTGTGGAAACCTTTCCCTGATCCCCTACAGCTCAGGATCTCCAGGAGGTTCGGGGTTAGAAAAGCATGAAAAGCGCTGCTCAGGTATTAGGAAGTTTTAAAGCCAAGCAAACTGATGTACTGTTACCTGAGCCTGGAAAGGAAGGCAATGCAGGCAAATGTACTTGACTGCGTAACTTACATGCAACACTGATAGAGAGGGGCAAGAATGCTTCTCTCATCCAGCGAGGGGTTCCCAAAGCTGAAAATTTAATGAAAAGTTAGTGAATTAGGTGGAAGCACCCATCCCCTTCTTAGCATCAAAGCAAGAACAAATTCCATATGAAACCTGAATGTGATCCTGGATAATTTTATGCTCCCACAGCTCAAATCACTTAAATTAAAAATAAACAGGGCATGACCAATTAGACACAGGATTCCTAACAGCTTGTACTGCAGCATCAAACAACAAATATACTCCTTTACAAGGATCCTTTCTCCTGCCAGGATATTGCAAGGTGTTGAAGCATAACCCTCCTAACACGGTATGGAGTCCACAGACCAAGGGAGAACCTGAAGACCCCCAAACCCGAGAAGGTTTTAAGGGTATGTAGAGCAATAAAGGCTATTTATATTAGGTTCTCGCAAACAAGCAGAAGGTCATTACCTGTAAAAAGAAGTTATACTTGTTCTACTTTAATATTACCAATCAGAAAAAGACTTAGATTATCGTATTCCCTACAAGAAAGTATATGGTCAGATTCAAACTGTAAAAACTGCTCACAGAGGCTGGGAAAACAGTGATTCAAAGCAGATGTAAAAATGATCTTAGTAATTCCGAGTTAGAAAAGGAGAACTGATTCTGGAAAAACTGTCAACCTTCCACTCTTTTCCTGGAAGCTCACCTTAATAGCTGGAGGGTCTGGTAGCCCTCAGCACAGGGCAGGCCCACAAATAATAAAAGGCAAAGGCAATTATTTCAATGTGTATTTCCACAGCACATGATCAGTTGTACAAGTAAGGATAAAGATATTCAGGAATTGAAAATATAGTATAAATGAAAATGAAATACATAGCACTGGTCACTACCTGCTTTGCTGGGAATGGTAGAGGCAATGTTTGCTGGCCTCTCACTCTGTGTAGCTGTCACCCCCTTTCATGGAGTATGAGGCACCTGGTGCTCAGTATGAGGTGGTGGCCTCCTTAGCAAATGCTGCCTAAGCATTCTTCGCTGAGTGTCCATGTCCCAGCTTATTCTCAGCAACCAACGTTAACAATAGTGACTCATCTTCTTTATCCATTCGAAAGAAGATGTGCTACATATATACAATGGAATATTACTCAGCCATAAAAAGTAATGTGGATGGATCTAGAGACTGTCATACAGAGTGAAGTAAATCAGGAAGAAAAAAAACAAATATCGTATATTAACGCATATGTGTGGAACCTAGAAGAACGGTACAGATGAACAGGTTTGCAGGGCAGAAATAGAGACACAGATGTAGAGAACAAACGTATGGACACCAAGTGGGGAAAGCGGCGGGGGGCGGTGGTGGTGGGATAAATTGGGAGATTGGGATTGACATATATACACCGATATGTATAAAATAGATAATTAGTAAGAACCTGCTGTATAAAAAAATAAATAAAATAAAATTCAAAAATACAAAAAAACAACCAAAAAAACCCCCCAAAAAACCCAATACTGACTCAGAGCCTGAACAATTCCAGCTCCAAGGAAGTATTCTATTTAGCAAACATTTATTATGTGTAACTAGAAGTGTGGCACTTAACTGGGTACCATGAAGAATGCAGAGTGCAAACTGAAAATACAATGTGCTCTTCAAATAGCTCAGGCCTAAATAAGGACATTCCATTTATTCAAAATTAATAAAATTGTTTTATTCAAGATAAAAGTAACTTGTCTTTATATATAATTACTAAGCAACTAACTGCTCTCCTACTCATAATAGAAAAAATCTGGGCCTAGACTGCCATAAAAATAGCAAAAACATCCTATCAAATAAACTAATTTTTTAAACTGTATGAATCTTTGGATAGAATAATTTAACAACAGCTAAATTTCATGTTCCATTAACGATGTATTTCTCAAGATTCTAAACAACCTAGTCAAGAAAGAATGATGTAAGTAGCAATAAATAGAAGACCTTGGTTTCCAGTTGTCTGTGAAGAGAATCATACTCTTTGACTCTTTGGAAAAAGTGAGTTTTCCACTTTTTTAAAGTCCTCAGATCCCTGAAGGTGAAAGGAGTACAAACTCTGAACAAGTTGGAAGGATGGGTGCCAATGGCAAAGACTCCGAGTGGAAACAAGAAGGATGCCTTCTGTTGAGCCTGTTCTGGAGGTTTTCCAGGATACCCCAGAAAGCATTCTTCTTGTATACACAGGACCCCTAACTGACAAGGAGAGTCCTGCTGGTCCTACCTTTTGGCATTATCGAGAAGGATGAGCATACTAGCGCCTTCATCGTCTTGAAAACTCTCGTAGTGATGGCGGTCAGCATTGCCAATCAGGTAATCAAAGACAGCTGTATCAATGATGTCCAAGAGGCGAGGGCCGGAGTCATAAGGGGACGTTTTCTTCACAGCGTCACAGTAGCTCTCATCATACTCCCACCTGGAGGGAAGCAGCATCACCAGGGTCGTTCACTGAGTGCCAGCACCACACGTAACATTGTTTAAAACACAGAGAAGAGAGAGTCCCTGACTAGCAGGTTTTCCCCTGAACCCCCCATAGTCCTTTTTAGTCTTGGACAGAACCCTGGCTCCTACACAGGGTTGGCACCTGTCCAGGCACAGGAGAGAATGAAGTAGTGGCTCAAAGGAGCATTTACCTGGCTAATTTGCCCTCTCGGTAAGTCCTGCCCCATGGGTGTCGGTGTTTCTGTAGAGGCCACACATCTGGAAGCCAAAGCGTGACAGACCCCTCCATCGTGTCTCCATCAGCACAGGCTGGCTCTGTTTCTCGGCAATAATAACACTTCCCATAGAAACAAGTATTATTTCCTAAAGGAGAGAATGGAACCATATACACTTACAGAAAAAGGATAACTCCAAATTCTCCCCAAACAATGAAGAGAGCAGCTCTATGTGAAAACAAAGATCCTGAGCTTATTTTTAAATCTTTATTTATTTTCTGTATAGGAAATAAAAGAACATGGTGTAAAAAAAATTCAAAAGGTACAAAAGGATATATACAAAAAAGTTAAGTCTCCCTTTCCCTCTCTGTCCCTTCTACCCAATCTCTCCCAGAAGTCAACTACTGTCACAAGTATCTTTCTGAACTCACTTTAAGTAATGTCCTCTTCTCCTTCAGCAGGACTGACATTTTGGCCAGAATGCCCAGGGGAGGGAGAGAGGGCATGTACGAGGCCAAGCCATGGACCAGGACTTCGGTTACATGCGGAGTGGGAAGTAGGGTCTAGAGCAAATGAGTAAACAGACTGAGGATAATGGGAACCAGGTTTCTCATAGATGGAGAAGGGAGTTTAACATATAAAAAGAGAGAAGGCCAGAGTAAATCCTGCAGTGTTGAATTAGAACTGGAGATATTGATTTGAATTGATGGTTTTAAAACACAGAGATATAAAAGAAAGTACAAATGTTTGTGTATATGTATGCATATATATACATACGCATGTATATATATATATATATATATATATATATACATATTTTGCCCCTTTAGAAAACCTGGAAACAATAACACTCAGGTAGTAATGAACACACTCACATATCAGTTTCTAAATATCATTTTAATACTATATTAAAAGGAACCAGGGCTCCCTGGAGAAACAGATGACCCCTAGGGCAGGGGCAGGGAAAGTACAAGATGAGCCTGGGTCATACTGCTATGCCAGCTGTAAGGAGGCACTCAGAATGACGGGGACATTCCAAATAACACAAGAGACAGTTTGTAGGGGTTCCCACTGGCCAAATCTGGGACAGTTTGAGCATCAAAATAAATAATAATAGTAACAAATTATAACTGAGTAAATTAGGAGTCTACGTGTTCATAGTGATATAAATAAATAAGTAAACAAAAGTGGGGCAGGGCAACGGGAGCTCTACTCATCAAAAGAATGGCAACCAGTAAGTCTAGAAGAAATGACAGAATTAGCAAATCACCATTTGGCAACTATCACATTAGTAACTGATTCGGGTAAGAATTATCAATGAATTCTAAAACTGGTGGGCAAAAGTTTCATGAGGATAGAATATTTATATAGTTTTGAGTTTCTCCCTACAAAGTACTCAGTAATTATTTATTAGTAAGTATAAAATACTGGAGAAACCTTGCAGACACTCACCATCTTAATCATGCAACTGAATGCAATATCCTAGATTGAATCCTGGATGTACATAGGCCATTACATGGACAAGTGGCAAAATGTGAATAGGATCTATGAATTAGATAGCAATATTGGATCAAAGTTCATCTCTTCATTTTGATGGTTGAATGTTGTTGTGTAGGAGAGTGTGCTGGTAGTTGCGATATACTCACTGAAGTCTTAAGGGAGCATATAATGCTGTAATGGATATTCATGTCTGCAACCTGTTCTCAAATGATTCAGAAGTATTAACAATTGAGGAATCTGGGGGATTCTGGATCATTTCTGCAACTTTTATGTAAATCTAAAATTATTTCAAAATAAGAAGTTAAGGAAAGTAATGCTTTCTTCGCTCTCTACCTCTACAAAATAATAGCCATCAAATGAGCTAATTCCCTACACCCAGAAAACCTCACATGCTCCTTTAATGATTGTTTATGTTGTCATGTATATGTGTCCTTGAAGAGACAAACAGCACTCAAACTTTTTAGTATTTCCAACCTCTGGCATAGTACACACTAAATAGAAACTAATCCACTATATACCCACCCACAAAGCTGATTCTATCACTCTCCATTACTTTACAAACTTTTCTAGGTGAAGAAGATTTGAACACTAATTGAAAGATATACCACATTTATTTTTTAATTATAAAAATATAAACTTGTAAGTTTAACTTGATCCATCAGAAATACCAACGGATCTTTTAGAGGGTAACTAGGTATGACAATTTTAAAGGTCATAAGAAAAAATAACTAAGAACTGCTAGAAAATTGTTAAAATAACTGCAAAGAGAGGGGACTTGACCTACCAGATATCAAAACATAGTATAATGCCTCAGTAATTAAAACATTAAAGGGGACTTCCCTGGTGGTCCAGTAGGTAAGACTCCACACTCCCAATGCAGGGGCCGCGGGTTCAATCCCTGGTCAGGGAAATAGATCCCACATGCATGCCGCAGCTAAGAGTCCGCATGCCGCAACTGAGAGTCTGCATGCCGCCAGAAAGATCCCGAGTGCCGCAATGAAGACCCAGAGCAGCCAAAATAAATAAATAAAATAAATATTAAACAACAACAACAACATTATAGACCAGCTCATAAACAGATTTAATGTCCAATGGAGAAGAACAGAAAGTCCAGAAACTAAAGCTGAATAAAGAAACTAAATAAAGAAAATTTACTACAGGGAAAAACAAGAGACTCTTTAACAAATGCTATTGGGACAACTGATAGCCATCTGGGAAAAAACAACAACAGTGGAGCCATACTTCATTACATATACCAGAATAAATTCCAACAATATCAAAAACTTAAATGCAAAAAATAAAACTATAAAGGTACTAAAAGAAAAAAAAAAAGCAGAATTCCTCCATAATGTTGGAGTGAGCAAGGCTAACTATGATTCAAAATCAGAAAATCTATCAGAAAAGATGAACTGATTACATTAAAAACAAAAAGTTTCTGTAAGGCAAACACCCGCCCCCCAAAAATAACAAAACAAAAAACTATAAGCAAAGTCAAAAGAAATTAAAGAATTGGGGAAAATATTTATATCTCATATCACAAAGGGCTATTATCCTTCTTATGTATGAGCTCCTGTAAATTGATAGGACCAATGACAAAGCTAAAAATGAGCAAAGGGGTGGTGCAGTGGTTAAGAATCCGCCTGCCAATGCAGGGGACACGGGTTCGAGCCCTGGTCCGGGAAGATCCCACATCCCGTGCAGCAACTAAGCCCATGCGCCACAACTACTGAGCCGGCGCTCTAGAGCCCATGCTCCATAACAAGAGAAGCTGCCGCAATGAGAAGCCTGCGCACTGCAACAAAGAGTGGTCCCCGCTCACTGCAGCTAGGGAAAGCCCGCTTGCAGCAACAAAGACCCAACGCAGCCAAAAATAAATAAATAAATACATAAATTTATTTTAAAAAATGAGCAAAGGATATGCAAATACAAATGGCTCTTAAACAAATAAAAAGATGCTACATGTGAAACAAACAAAACCCAAAGTTTGATAATACGTTGTTGTTGAGGCTAGCGGGGAAGAGGCATTCTCATACACCACTGCTGAGAATGTAACCTGATTAAACACCTATGTAAAAATGTATGTGCCCTTTGACCCAGCACTTCCACTTCTGGATATATTTGATCATGTATGAAATAAAATATGTACAGGGTAATTTTGGGCAACAGTGGTTGTAAAAACAAAATACTGGAACTTTTATGTCCAACAAGGGCCTGGTTAAATTAATTATGGTAGATCCATACAATGGAGCATGATGTCCTTTTGATATTTTTTAAAAATTGTGAGCTGTGGGAATGTATTACTGATTCAAAAAACAGAAAAACAAAACAAAACATTGCTTGGTGTAGGAAACCTGCTGCCTATGTGACAAAATCCAAACTTCTGAGTTTGGTAAATAAGACCCTTTATAACCGAATGGAGTCAGGTGTACTGGCTAAAAGTGTAATCTAAGGTCAGGTTTGTGGGATCAAAATATAAACTCTAAATAGTCATTAGACTGCAAGACATTGGGCATGTAATTTCACCTATCTAAGCTCCCTCTGTAAAACGGAGATAATGTAACAGTTCTTCCCTCCTTGGGTTGTGAAGAGTGAAAGAGACAATCCCCAGTAATGCTCAGCACAGTGCCTGACACATTGTCAGAGACCAATCAATGCCAGCTATTTATTAGGAATAATCTGGTTCCAATCTACCTTTCCAGACCTCAATATTCCAGTTTTATAGCCATGAACCTGAGGCTCCGAATCTTTCACTATTTCCTGAATGCGCCAAACTTTTAAAACTGGTTTTCTGATGACCTCGATCTCCATGCTCTCCTTGGATGAACTACCACCTGATAATAAAATCTACAGCTCCAGCCCACACTTCTCGCCTAAGCTACAGATTTTAGCTCCTAAGTAACTAGTCAACATTTACTCCTGGATGTTCCTGTCAAGGTGAGATTCTGCACCCAGTTTCACTGTGTGTGGGTTTTCCCCCACCACCAAGCAATTCTTGGACACCAGCTGGGTGTCCTACAATTTAACTTAATTCTGACACTATCTACCCGGAGATAGCATCAGACTCCACAGGTTAAGGGCTCAGTCCCATAGGACTGCCCTCCACTTCAGATGGCAATTGCAAGTCCAGGTTGTCACCTGTGCTTCTGACCAGCTGGCTATAAATTAGAGGTCCCTATGAGCCCCTGTTTGGGTTCGATTAATTTACTAGGGTAAAGAATATACAACAGGGAGAGGACAGTCTCTTCAATAAATGGTGTTGGGAAAACTGGGCAGTCACATGCAAAGGAACGAAACTGGACAACTATTTTATAACATATGCAAAAATTAACTCAAAATGGATTAAAGACTTGAACTTAAGACCTGACACCATAAAACTCCTAGAAAAAAACATATGCGGTGAGTTCCTTGACATTGGTCTTGGCAATTATATTTTGGATTTGACACCAAAAGCAAAGGCAACAAAAGCAAAAATAAACAAGTGGGACTACATCAAACCAAAAAGCTTCTGCAAAGCAAAGGAAACCATCAACAAAACAAGAAGACAACCTACTGAATGGGAGAAAATATTTGCAAATCATATATCTGATAAGTGGTTCGTATCCAAAATATATAAAGAACTCATACAACTCAATAGCAAAAAAATAATCCAATTAAAAAATAAGCAGAAGATCTGAATAGACATTTTTCCAAAGAAGACATACAAGTGGCCAACAGATACATGAAAAGGTGCTCAACATCACTAATCACAAGGGAAATGCAAATCAAACCACAATAAGACATCACCTCATACCTGTCAGAATGGCTATCATCAAAGAGACAAGAAATAACCAGTGTTGGTACGGCTGTGGAGAAAAGGGAACCTTTGTGCATCACTGGTGGGAACATAAATTGGTGCAGGCACTGTGGAAAACAGTATGGAGGTTCCTCAAAAAATTAAAAATAGAACTGCCATATGATCCAGCAATTTTACTTCTAGGTATTTAACTGAAGAGAGAACAAAAACACTAATTCAAAAAGATATCTGCACCCCCATATTCACTGCAGTACTATTTACAATATCCAAGGTATGGAAACAACCTAAGTACTCATCAACGTATGAATGGATAAAGAAAAAATATGTGGTATATATACAATGGAATATTACTCAGCCATAAAAAAGAATAAAACCTTGTCATTTGCAATAACACTGATGGCCCTTGAGGGCATTACACTAAGTGAAATAAGTCAGAGAAAGATAAATACTGTATGATCTCACTTACAGAATCTAAAACAAAATGAAACAAAACAAACCCAAGCTCACAGATACTGAGAGCAGATGGGTGGTTGCCAGAGGCTGGGGGGTCGTGGGGTGGGAGACATGGGTGAAGGGAATCAAAAGGTACAGACAACCAGTTATAAAATAAGTCATCAGGATGGTGACTATGGTAAATAATACTGTACTGCATATTTGAAAGCTGCTAAGTCAACAGATCTCAAAAGTTCTCTTCACAAGAAAAAAAAAATTCTGTACCTATATATGGTGATGTTTGTTAACTAGACTTATTGTGGTGATCATTTCACAATATGTACAAATACTGAATCATTATGCTGTACATCTGAAACTAACATAATGTACAATTATACCTCAAAAAAAAAATTTGCTAGGGCGGCTCACAGGTCTTAGGAAACCAGTTTACTCCCTAGATTACTGGTTTATTACAAAGGATATCAATCAAGAGCCGATGAAGAGATACATAGGTCGAGGTCCTGAACAAAGAAGCTTCTGTCTTTGTGGAGTTTGGGGCCTGGCATGGTGGCACACGGAAACTTTTGGTTCACCAACCTGTAAAGTTCCCCGAACCCCGTACTGTTGGAATTTTTATAGAGGCTTCCTTACGTAGGCAAGATCAATTAGTAACTCCAGCCATGATCAGTTATTTCCAGCTCCTCTCCACTCTCTGGAGAAAGGGCAAGGGTGCGGGGCTGAAAATTCCAAGCTTCTAATTATGGCTTGGTCTTTCTGGTGAACAGCCTCCATCCAGGAGGCATCCAGGAACCAACCCAGAATCACCTCAATAGAATAAGATATACTCCTAGTGTTCCTACCACTTAGGAATTTACAAGGGTTTTAGGAGCTGTGTGTCAGGAACTGGGGACAGAAACCAATATATCTATTTCTTATTATTTTACACAAGGAAACAAAATATCCAAAATTAAATTCATTATCTTCCTCTGCTCCATCTCCCTAAGTCTGTTCCTTTCTATATATTCCTAAGACAGCTAACAGCTTCATTATACACTTAGTCATCCAATCCAGAAATTTAGGAGTCATTTTTAACTTTTTCCTCTCTCTCAATTGTCTCACTCAGCCCAAATGTTCACCAAATTCCTTCCATTCCAGTTCTTGAGTATCCCCTAGATGTCCAGGTTTTAGTTTGGACTCACTGCATGTGCATTTACTACAACAGCCCCCAAGGGCTCTCATCTCAGCTTGCCCTTCCCAATTCATCCTCCACAATGCTGCTACAATTAGTTTTCTAAAACTCAAATCTGATCTTTCCACATTCAAAGTCTTTTCCATGGCCTCCCAGTGCCTAAGGAGAAAATCTTTACTTCAGCTCAACTACACAGTCTCCTGAGCTTGCCATGCTCTTCTCTCATTTCTTGTCGCTGTTGTCTCTGCTCTGTCCTCCACCTAGAACAGGGTTAACTCAGGGAGCCTGTGAACTGGACGGAAACAAAATTACATTTTTATTTTCACTAACTTCTACCTGAAACTTAGCATTTCCTTCAGTTACGATGGTAGGCAGCAAACCATAGTATTAGCGTTACCTGTGACTTTCTCAACAGAAGAAATCAATAAATTTTTCATATCATATTAGCATTGTTGCAGATACTTCAAAGTATCATTTATATTCATGGTCCGAAATTATGGTAGTTACTAGATCACTCTAAATCTTGTTATTTAATGTGTAAATAACGAAGCACATGTTACTCTATCACAAATTAGCTTTTTGTAATTTTAGGTTAAAAAATATATACTTCAATATTATTAGTTTTGTTTATAAGTCTACGTATTTTAATTTATGTATTTAAAAACATTATTTTGAGAAAGGATCCAGAAACTTCTCTAGACTGCCAAAGAGTCACTTGCACAAAAAAAGGTTAAGAGTCCTTTTCCAAACCTAGGGTGTTCTTTCCCACTGTATCTTCCTGCAGGATTGCTATTCTCCCTTTAAGACTTGGTTGAAACTATCACCCCAGCCCTAACTTCTAGCCCCTCCTCTTCCCCTCCACATTCCCACAGGCCCTCTGTATATGTGTGGCTCCCCCATTAGATAAAGCTCCTTGAAGGCAGGAAGGTGTCATTCATTTTTGTATATTCAACACCTAGTTCAGAGCCTGCCACACAGAGTGAAACAAAATTTTGTTCAATAAATAAATGAATGAATATACAAGAATATATGCAGATCAAATATTTTAGTCTCAATATCTGGGTTTGAATCCTGGCTAACAATTAGTAGCTTTGTGAATTTGGGAACGTCATTTAACTTTTAAACCTCTTTCTCAGGTCTGAAATGTGGATAAATCTTCCCTACTTATTGCACTCTTGTCAAGAGGATTAAATAAGGTAACTGTGTGAAAGTGCTTTGTCAAGTTGCAAGGGCTATACAAAATTTAGCTATCATTATACCAAGTTATCTAGTAATACATTTTAAAAATTGTGCTAAGGTCAGTCCATCATTTAAAACCCATCTCCAGCCAATCCCTCTACCTGCCTGCTATGGACTGAATGTTCATGACCCCCCTAGAATTCACACAGTGAAGCCCCAATACGGTGGTATTTGGAGGTGGGATTTTAGGGAGGAGTCCTCATGATGGGATTAGTGCCTTTGTAAGAGACATGATAGAGATGATTCCTCTTTCATTCTTTCTCTGCAATGTGAGGATGGATACAGGAAGAAGACTGCTGCCTGTGAATCACAAAGAGGGCTTTCACCAGAACCCAACCATGGTGGCACTCTGATCTTGGATTTCTAGTAACCAGAACTGTGAAAAATAAATCCCTATTGTTTAAGCCACACAGTCCATGATATCTTGTTATAGCAGCCAAACTAAGACACTGCCCTATGCTGTAGAGTGTATCCAGAAGCTTTTCTCTAAATGTACCAGTGCTTTGCACTTTCAGGTCTTTGTGCCCTCATTTCCATTATACTTCCTGTTATTGTGCCCAATGCCCTTCCCTCTTTGCAGCCTGGGTAGCGTCTATGGATTCTCCAATACTCAGCCCTTTTTCTGGCCTCTCCCTTCCCCTGCACCTTGCACAATATAGGAGAGTTAACCTTCTCTGAGTCTCTAGACAGCAGGCCTATTCTTCCCATCCATCAGGAATGCATGTTTGCCTAAGCATAAAATTGGACAAGCAGAAGTGATTAGAAAATATATGAAACAAATCAGTGACAGTGTATGCTTTTGGTTATTTGCAAGAACAGCAGAGCCCTAGCCTGATAAGTTTAAATTCTGAATGATGAATCTGTCAAAAGTGCTTTAAATATTCAGTTTCACCTCATTATAAATGTAAATCCATTCACCCTAGCAAAGCAAGTTGAAGTTCATCTTGCAATGTCTATTTCAACAGTCATATCAACGCAGAGTACTGTGTCATTGAAAATGGCACCCTGAGGAGGCTCAGACAAAAGACCACAGCACCTCTGAATTCCTCCCATTCTCACTATGTCTGCAAGGAGAACAGGAGTGAGAATTCTAGCCCAGACCCCTTACCTCAGAGTGTGACAACGGAGAACAGAGGCCAGAGGGATGGCAGTCAATTCCACACACAAAGAGTTACATAGGCTAACCTTTGCAGAGTAGGAGGAGGCAGTGGTGATCTTCCAGGCCCAAGGGCAACCCTACAAGGGAATTTCTGACCCTCTTATAGAGTTGCCTTAAGGTTTGCTCAATTCTCAGGAGATAGGAAACAGTTCCCAAGAAAGTACAGGAGTATGAAAAAAAACACCAAGGCAATGATACACAGGCAGTAACTGATTCAGACCAAATTTTGAGTTTGAGATTTAGTTTAAGATCAAGCAGAAGGAAATTAAGTTATCCCCTAATTACACTGTCGTAAATGATCTCACTTCCTGTCAGAGACACACAAAGCGTGCATTAGGGAAAACTTTCAATTTCCTGCCATCCACCTTTAGATCTATTTCCCCCAGTACTCTGAGAACAAGTTGCCTGATTTGCTTTTGTAGTCCCTTGAGTTCTTCAGTTCCTAAAAGTCATGAGCCAGCTTGCTCAATGATGCCCCATTTAATTTATTAACTATTCCCTTACCTAAACGTCCTCTATAACCTCCTTACCTACAGTTAGGAAGGTGCTCAAGAGCTGCTCCGTGGCAACAGGCTTGATCTCTGTCCGCAGATTAACAAATCTGCCAACCACCAAGGGGGCTCGGCGGAAACCCAGAATCCTGGTTTGGAAGGTTGAACAGAAGAGAAAAATCTTTGGGGATATATTTTAAACAGTAGTCTTTTTTTTTTTCTTTTGGCTGCATTGTGCAGCTTGCGGGATATTAGTTCCCCAACCAGGGATCGAACTGGGCCCCTGGCAGTGAGAGCGCAGAGTCCTAAACACTAACCACAGGACTGCCGGGGAATTCCCTAAACAGTAGTCTTAAAAATCATGGTTAATCGTGTTAGGTGTGTAAAGGTATTGCTGACTGCTGGTAAGTATTTTTTAGAGGTACATATATTTGTGAATTTAATATCAAGATGTAAATAATTTATGTAAGACAAATCTAGCAAAATGTGAGCAATTGTTAAACCTAGGGAGTGGGTATATGGGTTCACTATACTACTCTTTCTACGTCTGTTAGAAATTTTTCATAATAAAATTTAACGAAGCATTAAAAAAAATTTGGGCCTAAACCCATACAGGGCTTCAAACCTTTACATAAAACATTGACAGAAAACTACACAGATTAATCTAAAAGGATAAACTCACAGGACAACTTAAATATAGATACATTTGAAGATACTTCTAATGGTCTAAAAGTGCAACCTTATCGTTGAGCACCATCATTTTTTTAAAAAAAGGAAATTTTCTGGCTAAAAAATACATACTCGCTGAAGAAAAGCTGGAGGGGCAGGATTTGGAACACACAGAAAATTTATGGGAGAAAATTAAAATCATCCATAATTCCACAACCGAGAAGTAACTACTGCCATTTCGGCATAAGACCATTTTTTCCTTCACATGTATATATAAACACATACTCACTCTTGTGTGTATATACACAATTGAGATTATGCTATATGCACTTCCGTCTCCTGCTTTTCACTCATCATTGTATCATGAGCCTCTTCTCATGTTATTAGAAAAGCCTTTAAAAATGACTGTGCACATGGGGCATATGTATATGTATAACTGATTCACTTTGTTATAAAGCAGAAAGTAACACACCATTGTAAAGCAATTATACTCCAACAAAGATGTTAAAAAAAAAATGACTGTGCAATAAATAATCTATTGTTCAGGGCTGCTGACTGACTCTGTCCTAAACTCATTTTCAGAAAAGCCACAAAAGCAAGGAGATCAATAGATGTCAAAATAACATAAAAAATGAGAGAACTTCCTGAGGCCAGAGGAGGTGGTTAAATCCTAATGTAATGGAGAAATAGCAACCCAGAGCAGAAAAGTATAAGGTGGGAAAGAAAGTGGGGAAGTATTTTTTCTCCCCATTGACTGTTGTCAGACCTTCAAAGAACAGCAGCCACTTAGTGCTGGGAAGCCGTGTCCAGTGGCACCTGAGCTTGGATGGGGCAGTTAATAAAAGGGGTAGGGGGACTGGCCACAGAATATCTTTCAGACTTTGAGGGAGGGAAGGGCTTTAAAATACAAGACCCCCAAAGCACAGGTGATAAATTGAAACGTTACAGGGACTTCCCTGGCAGTCCAGTGGTTAATACTCGGTGCTTCCACCGCAAGGGGCACAGGTCAGATCCCTGGTCACGGAACTAGGATCCCGCATGCTGTGTGGCGAGGCCACAAAAATAAATAAATAAATAGAAACATGATTATATTTAATTAACATCAAAAGTAATTTCCATACAAAGACCACTTCACTCTAAGTTAACAAACAGGTGTTGTGCTGTGAAAAGGAGGTACTAATCTCTACCCATAATTGGGGGAATATAAAATAACAATGAGATACCACTTTACATATATTAACTAAAATTAGTATGTTGGATAATATAAAATATTGGTATGGATATGGGAAAAAGATCTTCATGAACTGGTGTCCATCAACAGAGAAACAGGAAGGGGTTTAGGGATGAAGAAAATAAGGAAACAAACAAGGTCTTGGAAAGATTGATTCTAATGTGCAATTAAGTGATGAGTAGGATTTATCCAACTCTTTCCCACTAGGCCTTAGAAGAGGCAGTGAAAATTCATGGTATTGTGAACAAACATTTATTTAATTCTTCCCTTTCATTAGATGTTTAGATTGCTTCCATATTTTCACTACTGAAAATGCTACTAGCTAAGATCTTGGTGTATGTATCTTTTAATTTCTGATTCTCTAGAGTATTTCCTAGAAATATCTGGGATGTTTGTATAAAAAGGTAGTTACTCATTCAAAGGATATGAACATTAAGGTTTTTGATACATAATGCCGGAGTTTTTAAAAGAATGACTGAACCAATTAACAATGACACAAGCAGTATACGAATGTCAATGTATTCCTGCCAATAAAGTATTATCTTTTTTCTAATCTTTGCCATTTTCAGTAGGAGAAAATAGTATCCCATTGTTTCAACTGGATTTTTTTTTTTGGCCTCGCTGCATGGCTTGTGGGATCTTAGTTCCCTGACCAGGGATTGAACCCTGGCCCACAGCAGTGAAAGTGCAGAGTCCTAACCACTGGACCACAAGGGAATTCCCTGGATTTTATTTTATTACTGGTGAAGATGAACTCCCTCTGTCATATTTATTAGCAATCAATAATTTCTATTCAACCAACTGTGTTCTTAGACCATTTTCTACTAGCGTTTTAGAGCATGTATAAGATTTTCTAAACATTTATATATTAAGGCTATTAATGCTTAGATTATATTAGATTCAAGTATTTTCCTCCTAAGTTTGTTTGCTTTTAAATTTTGTTTGATGTTTCTTGACATATGAGTTAATTTTTTTTTAATTTAGTTGAATCTATTGAGTTTTTTCTTTTTGATTTTTAAATTATTGCTTTTATGCTTAGAAAATCCTTCCTAATCCAGAAAAAAGACAAAAATTCACCTTTATTTTCTTCCGGTTTCCTTATAGATTCATTTAAAAAATATTGTGAATAATTTATTTTAAAGTCTACCAATATGCCCTGATTAAAGAGCTGATCAGAGGAGCAACTGGGATACTAGACAATTCAGTTACAAGGATCCTGACTAGTAACTTGCTACAAAAGTATTAATTTTCCTAGTTAACTTATATATTTAGAATTCACATCTATTTTCCTCTTAGAATTATCCTGGTTATTGAAGCTGTGCATATTTTATATGAAGGACAATAAAATTCACATATATGTCATGCTACATGTTTTTAGCATATGAGGATAAGTGAGTATTATTCAAAACAAAACAAAAATCAGGACTGCCAGGCCCAATTAATGACCAGTTCAATTTAGGGACTTGAATTCAAACTCTGGTTTTCTTCCTGTCATTTTATTTACCAAGAACATCTTCACTCATGCTAATGAGAGAGGGCATAACAGAATGAAATGACCTAAAAAAGCCTGGAGTTAAGACATTTACTTTGGTATTCCTAGTACCACCCAAATAATGAGGAACTCACACAAATTTAATGGAATTAATCAGTTATCTAAAGTAGGTAACAAGTTAAAGTTATTAGATTTCGTTTTTTTTTATTACATTCCTTTGAAAGGCATCCACAAGTCCTCTCCAGGATATTCCTAAAAGGAAACAAAACGAATGTAACCCACTGTGATTACACATACCTGTCCAAATGAAAGGCTGCTACCTCTGCATTGTGTCTATCATAACCAGCATAAGGTTCCCCTTCTACCACATAGTCTCGGTTATACCTGCAGAGTGAATGGGAAGCACAGATGTAGACATGAATTACATCAGTACCAGAGGCGACAGCACAAGAGGCAGAATAGAAATTTGCAAGCCTGATTTTGCTCTAGAAAACTTCTCTGTCAACCCGGAGAACAGTCATGGATTAGCATAGATCATGGGTTGACGTGGTGAAGATGAAGTGGAGAAGAAAACTAGAATTATACATCTACCTCTGCAATCATTCTATGAATAAAACACAGATGTTATTTTTACCCCTCTAAAAGACTTTCAATGTAGCTTAAGTAAAACTATAAGGTACTTTTCTGGAAGGTGAGGACCATCTTTGTATCTTCAGCACAGTGTTAAGCCTATAGTTCATGCTTAATAAATGTCTACTGAAACGTTTATTAGACTAAGCTGAAGTAAAAGGAAAATATGGCAAGGCTTACCAGAATGGCTATAGCAAGGCTAATTAGAGAAGTTTAAATTTCATGGGGAAAAAAATGGTCCGGATATGCCTCTGTTTTTGTTAACAAGGAGGCAAAGGTACATTTGCCTTCCCTGTTAATGGGAAGAACTAGACACAATTCACCTATGACCTCTACTGTTCGCTTGCATTTCCTCAATCAAAAGGAGACGTATCAGGCTTTACAAGACAGAAATAAGTTGAGAATGATGTGAAGAGGAGGCACTCCACTAAGGACACTTGGATCTCCAATGCTGAAAAGGCCATGGGGAATTTGGAAACGGTACTGTACAAGGCAGTGACCTTCAACATAAATGACCACAGAGTACAAAGTAAAACCATGTCCACCAAACACATTTTCAAATCAAAGTGATGAAACATTTATGTTAGAAGACAGACACGCAAAACCACCTGGTTGGACACCAGTTTCTTCCTAGCATGGTCAATATACTCAAACTATTTTTTTGTTTCTAGTGTCAAAGCATCATTTAGGCTGCCAAGGATTACACCTGTTACCTCCAAATTAAAAATCTCAGTTTTTAAACAGGACTGCAGCAAAAGCTGACACTATTCAAGCACTTCTCTCTCCACTACAGCTGCAGGCTGTCCATAAAGCTGGGCGACAGTCCTTGAATACCTTATTTCTCAGGACTCCAGAGGAGCCACAGGAAGATTTGTGGTGCTGTGCTGTCCACTCCTTTCAGTGAAACATTAGAGAACTTTCCAGTACATGGAAAGGCTGCTTGGAGTGAAATGTAAAACCCTAGAAGAATCCAGGAACTTTGGGAGTAGGCTGGAGAAACAGGGAGGGAAGGAAAAGGGAAAGGAAGAAAAATCAAAATGAAAGAACTGCATTGGAGTCCGAAGGTCTGAATCCTTAGTTCATGCTTTGGTTATGAGAAATACGGAAAGTCAGAACCCTGGATCTCATTTTCCCCAGCTGTAAAATGAGCAGTTGGACTAGTTGATCTCCAAGGTCCCTTTCAGCACTTCCTAAGATCAGTCACTGACTTCTACCCACCCCCAGGCCCTTGCCGTCTTGTTCCTTTCCCACCATAACTGCAGTTTTTGCCTGTGAAAATCAATTTACTTCCAGAAAGGATACAGCTATTGGGTTGGCCAAAAGGTTCGTTCAGTTAGTGAACACGTTGTTCAATAAAGATCTTCGTGAAAGTGAAAAATGTCTTTTTTTACTTAAAGCCCCATTAACGTTTTGGCCAACCCAATATACTGAAAAAAATCACTTTTATAATAATGTAGTAAGGAAAAATGTGCAAATAAAGGCATCACTGTATTCCTATATATTTCATGTACTATACAAATCTTCCATCTCTGGCAGGAGGACATGGACAACCAGGCTCCAGAAATGCTGAACCACAAGTGGCTGTTAAAGAAAGGTGCACGTCTCGACTTAGCAGAAAGGTCTTAGATCCTCCTCTCAACAAAGCAATCCATCTTAAGTCACTGACAGAGCAGCAAAATTCATACAGTAACTGCCAATAAATCACTCCTATCCTTCTGGTGAAGGACATCAGAATGTGACCAAGAACGTTAATTTGCACTTACACTAGGACTAAATAGCCTCAGAGGCCCGCAGGGTCAGAATAGCAATTTGCTGGGTGTTTGGGGGCTGGAGTCAATTTCTACAAGCACTTAAATGTGCACCCACTTTCCCCACCCCGGGAGAGTGCCAGGTGTAATCAGCCCAGGTCAGTGTGTGCAGTGACTGGAGCGCTATCACCTACTGCAGGTGCCCGACAGCTTGCGGGAGGTGGGGCAGGAGCATCTCTGGAGCTGGGCATAGACAAGGGCTCTTCAGAAGGTGATGGGAGAGGAAGGGGCCGCACTGACAAGAATAAAGAGCTGGGTGTAGAGAGGAGGACCAGGCTGTGAGGGGCTGGCCACCAGGCTGTGCAGGCTGGGTTTTGTCTGGTGAGCAATGGGAATCCCTGGATGTTTTAAAGTTGCGGAGCACAGTGATTATATGGGTATTTGGGAGAAGAATGAAAGTGGATTTCAGGATGGTCTGGAAGAGGAAAGTAATGGGAAGGCTGCAGTGGTAGTAAGAGACATGAGATAAAGCAACAGTGACTAAGGTTAGCTTATGCATTTATCTGCTGCCACGTCCACTAGTCACCAGTCTGGCCTCTTCCTCCCTCCAGTTATGCTTTGTCTGAATACCCCAGTCCTATCTGCAAAGCACCTGAACTAATACTAATGTTGCACACCATCAGTAATATCTGCCTTCTAACACTTCCTGCTGTCCCATCTCACCTTCAATTCTTAGTGTACAAATAGTGGGTGTGGAGAGGGTATCCTTTTATTTAAACACAAAATGCCTGCAACTCATCTCTTTTTACATGAATTTAATTTTTGTTTTTAGTCTGTCTTCTTTCCATCACTCTGCTTATGCTGCGATCTCTCAGGCTACAAATCAAGAGGTCAAAGATCATAGTTCAAAAGGAAAGTAGCAAATTTTTGATGATGGGTGATCCATGTCATCTCTCTTACAGGAAGGCAAACAAATTTAAGAGAATCACACGTGTGTGGCAGAACACAAGCTGCTCACACTCTGACATCTCCATTAGTTACTGCAGGGTGATCTTGTCAAGTTATTCTTTCTCAAGTTATTCTTTCTAAGTCTCAGTTTCTTACTCTGGAAATAAGAACTGTAACTGCCCACAGTTGTGACAAAGGTTAAAAGCATTAACAGATACAAAAGTACTTAGTGTAATGCCTGGCAAATGGTGTGCATGCAACAAATATTAGATCCAAGTCCCACACAACTATGCTTTTTCCTCATTACCTGCCAATCAGACTTTCTATTCTCCAAAAGTCTACTGCATTTTAAAACTTTCCTAATTTCCACATCTTCCACACACCACACTGCCCAGTTCCAGGCAAATGCAGATCCCTTCCATTTCTGGAATTCCAATAATATTAGCTCTCTGCTTGCCTATTATCTACTGATATTTGAGCCATGAAGGGAGCTAAGCCAACTACTCTGGTCACAGTTGGTTTTTGCACCCCTTCACCCCATATTTCTTCTCCCACTCCAGCAAGAGCCCCAAAGTCATGTGTTACAATTTTCTCAAAAGCTCTACTGAGGAATGAAAAAAATGTTTAGTACACAGAAAATTTTCGACATTACAAATTTTGAGAAAATCCACTAGTAACTAATACCTGTCAAAAGAATATAGATCACCATCATGTTAACCTATTTCAAATTCATATACAAACAGAAAACTTAAAAAAAACTAATTATACTATAGAATGGCCACACGAATTATCTCTGTAGATCCTTAAAAAAGTCCAAAGGGATCACTGTCTAACAACATATGATCTAGCCCTCTCTAGTTCAAATTTGGACTGAGGCAACTAAAATGGCCCAGTTCTCTGCTTAAAACAGGTAAAAGAAACAACAACGAGATATCACTACACACATATTAGAATGACCAAAATCCAAAACACTGACAACACCAAATGCTGTTGAGGATGTGGAATAACAAGAACTTTCATTCGCTGCTGATGGGAATGTAAAACGGTACAGCTGCTTTGGAAGACAGACTGGCAGTTTCCTACAAAATGAAACATACTCTTACCATATGATCCAGCAATTGTGCTCCTTGGTATTTACCCAAATGAACTAAGAACTTACATCTACACAAATCCTGCACATGAATGTTTATAGCAGCTTTATTCATAACTGCCAAAACTTGAGTAGGTGAATGGATAAACAAACTGCGGTACAGCTATACAATGGAATATTATTTAGGAAAAAAGAAAAAGAAAAAAAAAAGCTATCAAGCCACAAAAAGACATGGAGGAACCTTAAGACACAGAGAGAAGCCAATCTGAAAAGCTTACAAAAGGTATGATTCCAACCATATGGCATTCTGGAAAAGGCAAAACTATGGAGACAGTAAAAAGATTAGGGGTTGCCAGGGGTTCAGGGGGAGGAAGGGAAGGATGAATAGATAGAACACAGGGGATGCTGAGGACAGGGAAGCTATTCTGTATGATACTGTAATGGTGAATACTTATTATAAGTTTATTGAAACTCTCACAGAATGTACAGCACAAAGAGTGAACTTAATGTAAATTATGGACTTTAGTTAATAAATTAATATTGGCTCATCAACTGTAACAAATGTACTAATTTGATGGAAGATGTTAATAATTGGAGAGGCTGGGGAAGAGAGGGGAGGGGATATATAGGAACTTTCTGTACTCTCCCCTTGATTTTTCTGTAAACCTAAAATTGCTTAAAAAATAAAATAAAGCCTATTAATTAAAACAAAACCAAAGCTCAAGTGAAAGAATCACAGCTTTAGTGCTAAAAAGGACTTAAGTCACCCATCCAAAACCTACTCCAACTCTGGGGAACTCCTACTCCACAGCATCCCTGACATGTGGTTGCCCAGTCTTTAATTGTACACTTATGGTGACAAGTTACTTATTTCCTAACCAATTCATTTTGTATCTCTAACATCTGGCACATAGTAGATACCTGACAAATTTCAGAATCAAGGATGGCTCTAACTGTAAAATGTGCAGTCTAATATTGAACCAAAACATATTCCTATAAATTTCCCTTACTCAAAGAATCATGGAACATTAAGAGCTAGAAGAGACTTCAGAGATCTTCTAGTCTCTCCTTCCCATTTTACTGAAGAGAATACCAAGAGAGGGAGATGAGCACTCATATAAATCCCAAGTTACAACTAAACAGCACAGATAACTTCAAGATGAAGACTTACCGCTTAGGTTTGAAGACAACTTTCTGTCCTCCTTCAAGTATCAGTAAGGCTTTCAGTTGTGTCCCTTTATAACCTACATCAGCTTTAATGATTTTCTTGGTGGCCATGGCATGCATGATTGCCCCCAGCTCTGGTGTCTCTTCAGGGTACACTTCCCGGGGAACCACCCACTGGGCTGCAATCTCCCAGGGAGACTGCAAGGTGTGGTCCAGCTTGGACACCAGCTCTACCCGCAAGCCAGCCATCATTCGGTGAAAGGCCCTCTGGTCCTCCCGGTTGGCAGCTGATGTATCTAAGTTGTCAATCAGGAAAACTTTGGTGAAGATAAAGATGACAAGGAGAATTGCTAACAGCACGACTCGCTGCTTTAGCTTCATGTTGACCTCTTTTCCTTCTCCCCTGACTACTCTCTCTCACTTATCAAGGAGAGCAGGTGGTGATTGTCAGCAAGGAGATTCCATGATTATACACACTGGTCCATTTCTTCACTGAGGTGCCTCCCACAATTCCTGCAAGCCCAAGTATAAAGCACAATTCAATCAGAATTCTGTCCTTCTACCCCTGAATCTTTTGCAAGCCTCAAATATATTACTCACCATTTTAGCCTTGCTAATCCTATGCCCGAGAAGACCCAATAATTTAAAATGAACTGGTCCAAGGAAGGACCTAATAGTTAAGAACCGGGTACATTGAAAATTTAAAAGCAAATACTACCGTTTTAATAGGGTGCAGAGCCATCTAGGAGCCATTTGGATGGCTACCAATTCCTAGAAACCAAAACAATAGGAAAAAGCACAAAAAAGTAAAATATTGAGATATGCATAACTCCTTAACTTTCATTTTTACCTTTCAAAATCCATAAAGGACTTTTGAATATCCAAAACCACCAGTATTTGGTAACTTTTCAGTTATCTCCTCCAAATATAAGTTTTGTGACACGTTATAACACAGGAACTCCTAAAGATGCCAAAGAGGGTACAGAGGAGAGTAATAACTCCCTCTCCAAATTCAAATACCTAGCAATCCTGGACATGTCATATCTGCTATTCATGTATTTAAATACAACAAACACCCAGATATATATCTCTACTTAGTCAGTCTTCTACTAATTATTTTTCAAAATTAAAAACCCTGTAAAATATGGATAATCAAATCTGGATAAATTAAGTAAAGGAAAAACATATCCCTATACCATCTGGCTATTAGTAGAACATGACCAGAAAACTAATGAAACCTGGTACTAGAGCAACACTATGAAATCTGGACTGGTCAGGCACATAACAAAGATACTGATGCTACAGACATAAAGAAGTGCTGCTTCCAGTGTGAGGCACAACACCCTCTGGTCAATTCTGAAGCTAAAAGATTCCAAATACAAGATTTTTGCAAGGGTGTCAAGAACATACAATTCAGCCTCATTTGCATGCTGACAGGTTGCTTTCCACTCCACAGGGCCATTTAAAAACATGCACAAGCTCACTTTGCTACATGCCTACAGGCAGCACGCACTGGGCTAAGACAAAGATGACAAGAAGATAAAAGGGTGTTGCTTCACTCTCCAATTCATTTAACAACTCAAACCATTAACTGAAGAAATAAAACCAATATAAAAGATAGGACAAACGATTCAGGCTGAGACACTCCCACCCAAACTGGAGACTGCTCCCCTAATAACAGCTGGAAACACATCCAAAAACAGTCTACTAGAGCAACAGTGTGTTCTAAGGGCAGCACCTTGCTCAGAGCTTGCTGACATGTAGTTTATTCGTGGTGATTAACCTCTCTTCCCATTCATTTTCATAAAGATGGGAAAGCGAGAGTCACATTCAAATTCTAATTATCTCCAGCCACCTGTTTTGTTGCATCATCATCTCCCAGGGAGTACACAACACTATTAGCTGAAACACAGGCAACTCAAGTACATCCAAAATGTAATTGTGATGGTATCAAGTTTGGTGTGAAACTCAGTAAAACAATTCCCTGTGATTACTGATAACAGCAATGCTAGTAGAGCAGATTTCAGAGATTTTTGCTAGTTCCAACATGACCTAAACCACACAACTTCTTCAATTATTTGTTCAGCAGTACACATCTCTGGCTGCAGTGGTAAAAGGTAGCATGGAAATCTCCCTGGGTCAGCAATCATTTCCTCAGCACCTCCAGCTGCAACTACCTCCTGCTGAGGTACAATTCTGGCACAAAGGGGTCAGATGAACAGCCTTTCACTTCCTATAAAACCCTCCTCAGGACTAAAGTCTGGTTAACCCGGGAACTTCTAATGATGCTGCTCATTTCATTTAGAATGAAGAAATTCCTCCCTTATGCTATATAAACAAATTATATCTAAACATTTAGCACAAAGGTTAGGGAGAGTGAGGGCTTTTTGTTTTTTTTTTAAATCACCAATGCAATAGGAAGTTCTAGTAGCTCCAAAATTCAAACAAAACAAAGTGAGTCTGTATGCTTTTCAGTTTTGAAACCTCATTACCTTCTGATGGGCCTCAGAAGAGCACATTCATCAGTTCAGGGCTGCAGGTAATTCATCCACTCAACTAGGACAGAAATTTCTATTAAGTAAACTGAAGAGTTCAGCTGTTACCTCGCTTCACTATTTACCTCTGCAGATTAGTAGTGAGGGCAGGTTTAACGAAGGGGCTGAACAAGTTTTCTTGTTTGTGATTAGTCACCACATCCTGGTAAAACAAGTAAGATTGCAATTTGACACTGTTCTCTACAACTGCCCGTCATGCCCACAGCCATCGACTTCATTTAGTGCTCAGCACCTTCTACTGGATCCCTGAAAGAACTGCCTCTGGGCCTCCAGGTTCTCCAATCCAGACTAGATAATGCAGCAAAATCATATTTCTAATCACACACCATTTTTGAGTTCTATAAATCCCTTAGCAAGGCATTAAAGCCCTACCCTAAATGACTTCGGCCAATCTACATTGCTAGGCATCACTCTCATTCTCTTCACTCATCACTTGTCAGCTTCCACCACAAACATGGTCCCCTAAGTCACTCCTCACTGGAACTCTCTCAAAATTCCTCTAGCTCTTATCTTTTCTTCCCATCTTCTCCTGTTTAAAGCCTAATTAAGCTTTCAAAGGCCATCTCCAAAGCCGTTTCTGGTCTCTCTGTACACTCTATAGTAACTAACCTCTCTCATCTTTAGACTAGCACTTAACTACATTCTGCCTTATCCAGTGTCTTCTTGTATGTCGTTCTCAATCCCCCTCTCAGAATCCTGGCTCCTTAGTGATCTTAACTACCTTTGCACTCCCTGCAGTACGCAGCATAGTAAGGGTACATGCATTACTCACCTAAACTCAACAAACTACTGCAAATGAGGCTATGCAAGTATCTTAGGACTCTGCTGTTAATTTCCTCGGTATTCGGTATCAAATGAGTGTGTATTAATTGGCACCTTAATGTTGGCTGTCCTTAATTAGCTCTCCTGGTTTTGGGAATCTACTTCTCTACCAACACTCTACTCAATTTAGTTGGTGGTTTCAGAGTACAGTCTCTTTTTCTAAGTACTGACAGTTCAGAAAGAGGTTTTCCTTTAGCTGGAAAGCTGTATCCTTCAGCCTACAGGGCAAGCACAATGATCTTCAAGAAATCGACAATGTAGAGGTTTTAGCGGAATTTTTACAAAAAGTCTATGAGTTTGCAAGACTCCTATTCCAGAAAAATGTATTAGATGCACGATACAGAATAATTCCATCCTCTAATAATGGCAGACTCTTTTACTCTTTACAATTGATCCCCTTCTCTCCTGTATGCTTGAGAGGGGAGGGTACCCAAGACAGTTTCCATGCTGTATTATCTTCTTTTCTTACTTGAGATAACAGCGTACTATGCACGCTCTGCAAACTGGGTTTCTAAGAGGATCCCCCCTTTCAGATACTAAGAAAATGAAAGCAAGATCACTGGGTATATCCCAAGTTATTCATGAAAACTTCTCTTGCATTCCCAGGAGCCTGCCTGCTATATTTCATGCCCTCACCTCCTGTATAAATGCCTCCAACGGTGTAACATTGTCCAGTTATATTATGGTCATTTATTTTAATGTTTCGGTTATGTGAAACAGAGCCTACCTCAAAGAACAGTCTCAAGGTAACAACATAACTCAAAAAATGTTAAATATAAAAAGGCAAGTGTGTAAGTCTTCACACTAAAAGCTGGTATAAATTCCAAGACTGGAGTTCTGGAAGGTAGAAGCTTATTAAGGAATTTTCGTGCTGAACCCTGGTTTCACTCTCAGCTCCATCAGTGAAATGAGGCTTGATATGGAAGCTAATATTTCATTCCTCTCTCTCTCTCTCTCTCTCTCTCTCTCTCGCTCACACACACACACACACACACACACACACACACACACACACTATCCTACACATTTGATAAGCGTTTCATAAGGATAAACTTATGACTAAAAATTGTTTTGGGAGAAATAGGTTCACATAGAAAAAGGAGAAGTCTTAGATAAAGACTAGAATCCTCGTTCAAGAATCTGGCTGATGTCTGGAGGAACACATACAGAAATACACATCAGTGCAGAGATCTGTTAGTCATCAGCTGATAAAATTCAATACATGTGGCTGCTGAGGAACATGCAAAGACCGCACCCCAACACTTATTATATTACCAAGGGCTCCCACAAGTCACCAGTGAGGTTCCAAGCCTTATCAGTAGCAGTGCCACGATGAATCGCCCTCTGATCAAGTGACAACCTCACGCTACTTCTCCGAAGGTCACGGAGAAGAAATCCCAACTTCTGCTCATAGCAACTAAAGTGAAGCCTTCAGTAATACTCTTTTTTTGTGCTTCCAATTCAGCGGTCAAATCAAGTTCTTACCACATGAAGGGAATGTAACATGCTTTGTGAGTGTCAAATACCGGAAGAAAACATTCTGTATGAACATTTCATGCAGAGGGCTATTAGCAAAGGAGATGGTGAAGGGGGTAGGATTTATTATATAACTAGTAAAATATCTTATCATGTTTACTCACACAATCTCTTCACCCTTGATCCTGAGTAGAAATTACAAGGACACTTTTACAAACTTCTTCTTTGGTCACTGTTGGTCTCAGCAAACCTCTGAAGGTGTGGTTAGTATAAAAGGTAACACCTGAATTTAAAGAGTTTTTGGTTGACTGTCTACAAAGACAGACACCAACAATTCCTCCCATCAGGAGGTGGAATCTATTTTTCCTTCCCCTGAATCTGGGCTAGCTTTGTAACTTGCTTTGATCAACAGAATGCTGTGGAAGTGGCTGTGTACTAGGTGTCTTAAAAGACCTGCAGCTTCCATTTGGGGCCAAGCTACTATGTAAAGCAGCTCAGGCTAGACTACTGAATGATGGGAGACCTGGCCAGCCCCTAGTTATTCTGACCACTCCAGCTAAGTGCCAGACACAGAAGTGAAGCCATTAAGGGCATTCCAGTTCCAACTGAGGCCCCAGCTAAATACAGCCACCCATCTGACTCCAGCCTATATCATTTGGGCAGAAGAACCAGTCAGCTGGGCACAGGTGATCTATACAGTCATGAGAAACAACAAATCATTTAGTCTTAAGCCACTACATTTGGGGGTAATTTGTAAAACCCAGCATTCTCACATCTATTCTGTCCATATCAACTATTTGGGAGACATTAAATTAACCATTAATACAAATAAAGATTGGATTAATAAATAATTAAGGTCTCTTAAAGGTAACACAAGAAAAAAACAGAATCTCAAATGGATCATTTACTAAAGTCCCTTTACATACTTTAGAGCAATCAAGGCTAACCTTACACACTCACAGACTCACACAACTATACACACCCAGTTTATAAAGCCTAACCTTTAAACTTCAGCCAAAATTACAACCCTTTAGTACAACAACAAAAATTAAAAACACACATACTTTCACCTTGGGGTAAGTCTGATATACTGCCCTTTTGTTAATTGGTGGTGACATTAGAGCACTGTGCTACATTCTTACTAGCTGCCCTCTAGAAATAAATGCAGTCTCTCCTGATGGTTAGTGACAATTATTGTAAGTAAAATAAAGAGCATTCAGAAATCTCTCCACTTATCATTGTTTCTAGCTAGGAAGTCAAAACCTCTAATACCAAATGGCATCCAGTTTTTATTACATGAATAAATCCCTATTATCCTCAGAAAACCAGCCTACTCCTGCACTGCCACCACTGCCCACAACAGCGTAATACTGTTCTTTTTCACGTTCAATTGGGAGTCTTCAACTAAGACAAAATCTAACAACAAGTAATATCATTAATCAGTATCTACATAGTTTTCCTTTCCCTGCTAATTCTCCACTTAAGAAACAGCTTAATTCACCTTCTTTCTAAATATAAACTCTTCTGTAGCAGAGGGGTTAAGAATATGTGCTCTGGATTCAGAATGCCTGGGTCTGAATGCCTGCTAACCTCTCTGGGCCTCAGTTTCCTCATATGGAAAATGAAATAAGAACACTATTACCTGACTCACAGAATTGTTAAAAAAGAATGTCATTACCACGCGTACTGTGCTAAAATTAGTGCTTGGACAACCTATAGTAATTCTTGTTGGTCATTATTACCGTATCAAAAACCCAAAGATGACTTCCTGAGGAGAAAGAATGACAAAGAAAATAACCCTCGTTGGTTATGTTGTCTTCTGGGTTACACAGTCAGGGGCTGGATACCTATGTTGCATTACCAAGAATTCTAGTAATCTTATATTCCTGAACTAAATCCTTTCCTAAATTTGAGGAGTAGCTAAGGCTGGAAGCAAGTAGGTTTCTTCAGAGTGGGTACCAAGTGAAAAAGAAGACTGGGAGGTTATGTCACTAATTTGACCAACCTGTTTCTCTTCTCTACAAAGTTCAATTCTACCACATTCAATGTAAGTGAAACAGATGGGGAGCATGAACTTTTTCTATTTCCCAAAAACAGCCGAATAGAATGCCCTTCACAATATTCTTCAGTTTGGAAAATTAAATCTGTGTTTTAAAGATGACAGCTTTGCAGGTCCTAAAGCTTCTAAGATAAGCTCTGAAGTAACCTAAGTTACAGGTACAGAAAATCAAATCTCCATATAGTCTGAATTGGTTCAAGTGTTATATATTTCTCACAGTTTTCACTTCCACTTAAATATTTATTCACATATGTAAACTTTTTTTTTGGGGAAATCCTCTAACAGTTCCCTGTGAAGGAAGGAACGAAAATGATCACCAGGCATTAATGAAGCATAAAGTAGCCTTTCTTCCTGGTGTGAGAGTAAAACTGAAACAGGCTATGGAGTATTTGTTTCCTCTTTGAAAAAAATTCAATTCCTGCAACCTGTCCCATTTAAACCTTGATTTAGGGCAACCCTCTAATGCTCTTCCTTGAAAAATGAAAAGAAAAAACCTTCAGCTCATACTGCTAGTGAGATTTGTTCTAAAAAACCAACACATGCAGTGTTCACTGATCTAGAAACTCTAAGGAAATGCCTAAGAATTTGCATTCTGTTTCAAATGGGCCAGGTATAATGAACTTTCCTAAGTTCCAGGTATTTCACTGCTCAATTATCGGTATCTAACAACCATTTAAGGCTATATAGAATACAATTACTATATAGCATAGAAATATGGAATTTCAAATCATATAACATTTACTTCAGATTTTCATGTTTTCCATCTTTATTGTTCAGTTCACTACAGTTCTTGAAAAGGTATGTAAGTTGTAAGCTTTATTCAACAGTGATACCTCACACTTTTACCTTTGTGTTCTAGGGTATGTCAAGCTGACAGGCCACAGATCACTTTAGAAATAGGAACCCCAAGCAGGTCTGTGCTGAGTTATGGCTGAGTGGCTCCAGGCACGATCCCTTGTTATATATGAATATAAATGCACACACACACATACATACACACATATATTTTTTGGCATGCCTGTCTCCTCTACCCTATTGTAAGTTCCTCAAGGACAGGGGATATATTTTACTCTCTTTGTAGTTCCAAGTAACCTAGCACAGTGCAGGGCACATGAGAGGTACTGGATAAAATGCTTATTGAATAAAAGGAGTGAAGAGCAAGGGAGAGAGACCTTTACGGTTATAAGAATTTCTTCAGCTCTTTGGTTTAAAGATGGCCTCTTTTTTTTTTAACAGACATAAGGGAACTAAGTCACGTAATGAATTCAGATATACAGTACAGGAAGAATGTTGAAATGTCAAATATGTATACCAACTTTATATACTCAATTTTAAATTGCTGCCTTCTGTATACCTTGCTTCCATCTTTCAAGGCAACTGCTATTGCCAAGCTGGTGTCTGGTGTTGGTTGGGACTGGGAGTAAAGATGATCCGGAAATGCTAAGAGGAAGATTGGAGATGGTCCAACATTGCCCAAGAATGATACAAGACAGGGCTGGAACCAAATTTTCAAGTGTTGTTGGCAATGCTTTCTGAAACGAGAACCAACACTGGTATTTCCGTATCATTTTCTTTTTTCTACAGAAGGAACTACAGGGACATAAATGCACCTATACAGAGTGCAAATTCACTATCTAAACCAAGGATAAGAAACAAGAAATGAACAAAAGGTCTTTGGGCAGCCAAAATAATGGTCACAAAGTTCATCCACTAATACAGAAGAGGCAGGCAGACCCTCACTAAGCCTATTTAGCTGTTTTGCATTCAGTTTCAGGAAGCAGTGTTATCTGGGTTGCTACTCCACAGAAGATCAGAAGCTGCAAAAATTTTAAAAAGGGCAGCAGGGATGCTAACAACAGCAAAAGTACAGCTTCTTCACCTCTGAAAGAGACAGATTGCCTACTGAAAGCAAATTCAAGAATTCAAAAAGCAGAGGGGATTAACAACCTACATATTTCAATCACCTCAAAGCCCTACAGGATTAGTCTGTAACCATAACCTCAAGTCTATAAAGGTTACACTATATTGCTTAAAAAGACAACAAAACATATAATACATTGTAAAAAATTCTTCACAAAAATATAGCTAAAATAAGAATTTTTGCACCCAATATCTTATTCCCACACTGCTATATAAAGCAGAAAGTTAGCATTTAAGAGCATGGAATGATCAACTTCACTGTCTCATCCTGTACTTGGTTGTGTTTCACATTCATAATTTCATATTCCTTGACCTCCTTTTAAAATGTACCCAAATTAACACCTTCCCCTCCATTGGGTAGTTACCTTGCCAGAAAGTAGTCTGCTAAACACACACCAAAGCTCAATACCTTTCTGCATCAGCCTTCATTTCTTATCTCATACTGGGATAACAGATGCAACCCCCCAAACTCACCAGGTCCAGAGCTAGGCCTTCCCTCTTCCGATTTTGGATATGAATGACAAAAGTCACAAGTGAGAGCTTTGCATTACATTCTCTCCTAAATGGCTCTAGCAGTCATGTTGACATTATAAGTTGGTCAAAAGCTAGTTTCAGTTGCAAAGTAAGGTCTTCTGTTCTGTACCCCAGGTCTGTGCCAATGAATTCATTACTCCCTGAGTGTTACAGAGGCAGCTCAAGGAAGGAAAAGAGGGAGAGATTTACAGGTGTGGGAGAGATTTACAGGTGTGGAATGAGGAGCATTTCGGGGAGGGATAACTCCCCTCTCCCACCCCCAATATGAAGGACCAGAAGACGGACAGTCAGGGTCAATGATACTGGCATGGCCAATACCAAGAGCTCTAGTTCTTCTATTAGTGCAAAAATATTGTCTACCAATCCAACTGCTCGGTGAGCCTAGCCAGAGAAAGGTGCAGGAGCAGGTCTGTGAAGCTGCACCCAGGGTGCAGGTGGCTAGAACACCACCCAATCACAAAATTAGATCTCAAGGCAGCTCCAGCAAGTAACATCCTTTACAGATACCCATCTCAACAGAACTATTTTCAACAGGAATCAGGAACACAATTTCTTGGCTTTTTTTTTCTTGTAAAGAGGAACTAAACAATTTATTATCTGCACTAGAATATTTCCTCCTCCCGCATATACTGTTTTCCATTCCTTCATTCAATCACCAAACATTTACTGCACACCTACTATGCACTATGCACTGTTAGGTGCAAAAAGAAAAGTACATCAATCATCATCACTACTACACCAAACTGTAGTGCCTCATTGTAACTGTGCTTCTCACCCCACCACTACCTGGCCCTTAGTCCCAGAGCGGCCTGACATCACCTTCAGAAGACAGTCTCCTTTTTACTGTTTCCAACTATGGCCACAGAATGCAAAGAACAGCCTCCTGTTTCTATTATGAGATTGTAGCAGTCACCGAGAGACACTGTGGTTGCTATTTTAAAAAGTTGTCAATTCAAGAACTGAAGTATCTGGCTTCACGGTTTATACCGTTAAAATGATGGTCATACAAAGTGTAGGAAGCTGAAGTCTGCCCTGCAAGTAGAGGAAACAGAAAATTTCATTTAGAAATTCAAAATTCAGAAAAGACAAAAAGCAGAGGCTTTACACCAGTCAGAATGGCCATCATCAAAAAATCTAGAAACAATAAATGCTGGGGAGGGTGTGGAGAAAAGGGAACACTCTTGCACTGCTGGTGGGAATGTGAATTGGTACAGCCACTATGGAGAACAGTATGGAGGTTCCTTAAAAAACTACAAATAGAATTACCATACGACCCAGCAATCCCACTACTGGGCATATACCCTGAGAAAACCATAATTCCAAAAGAGTCATGTACCAAAATGTTCATTGCAGCTCTATTTACAATAGCCCGGAGATGGAAACAACCTAGGTGTCCATCATCAGATGAATGGATAAAGAAGATGTGGCACATATACACAATGGAATATTACTCAGCCATAAAAAGAAACGAAATTGAGCTATTTGTAATGAGGTGGATGGACCTACAGTCTGTCATACAGAGTGAAGTAAGTCAGAAAGAAAAAGACAAATACCGTATGCTAACACATATATATGGAATTTAAGAAATAAAATGTCATGAAGAACCTAGGGGTAAAACAGGAATAAAGACACAGACCAACTAGAGAATGGACTTGAGGATATGGGAAGGGAGAAGGGTAAGCTGTGACAAAGCAAGAGAGTGGCATGGACGTATATACACTACCAAACGTAAAATAGATAGCTAGTGGGAAGCAGCCACATAGCACAGGGAGACCAGCTCGGTGCTTTGTGACCACCTAGAGGGGTGGGATAGGGAGGGGGGGAGGGGGGGAGATGCAAGAGGGAAGAGATATGGGAACATATGTATATGTATAACTGATTCACTTTGTTATAAAGCAGAAACTAACACACCATTGTAAAGCAATTATACTCCAATAAAGATGCAAAAAAAATAAAAATAAAAAAATACATCTTAAATATTTAAAAAAAAAAGCAGAGGCTTTAACGCTGTGTGAAACAACTGGAGTCTACAAATGGAAGTCAACAGAATGGACTAAAGGTCAAGGAATTATCAACTCAACATAAAGAAATTCTATGACATAAAGGATTAGATGATAGAAACAGGGATCTGTTTGTTCCCTATTCAAAGAACCCAGGGTGTGTGCTTTCCAATTTTCATTCTTTAACTAAATCATGGCTATTTTCCTACTAGCTCCAGAGAAACAAAGAGAACAAATCAATCTCACATTTTTACCAGTCACACTGAAGAAAAGCTATGAGCTCCAAGATTTCCTGATCATCTTTTACCACCATTCATTTCTATCACTGCACTTTAATGTAAGTGAGGCTAACTCTGAATTGCTTGCTTGTGCCTCTTAATTCTCTTTTGACAAGCACTTTCAAAGGTGGAAGGCCCTCCTGTTGATTGATTCCACTGAACAGTTCTAGGGGCCAAGGTCCAACATCTCCACAAACTTCAAGTTATTAATTTAACACAAAACAATTTTAAATCTACCTTAGACTGGCTCTAAGTCTAGGCAAATAACTTAGCATCTTTAACATCTGTATCTCAGTTTCTCAAGGACATGTCTTGATGATAAATAACAATGTATGTGGAAGAGCTCTAAGGCTTAGCTCAAAGGTCCTGCATAAATTCCAGGACTGCAATACATAGAGCACACTGAGGTCTCTAACCCAATTTAAAATAATCAACCCCATGGGACTTCCCTGGTGGTCTAGTGGTTAAGACTGCGCTCCCAACGCAGGGGACCTGGGTTCGATCCCCGGTCAGAGAACTAGATCAACTAAAAAGATCTCGCACGCCGCAACTAAGACCCGGCACAGCCAGATAAATAAATAATAAAAAATAATCAACCCCAATGAAATTTATGCATTAATTTACAACACAAGGAGGATAGGAATAGTTAGTAAACAGTAATCATAGTTATCGTTTTACATAAAGTCCTGCAATTTAAAAGCTAAAAGACCCACATTCCTGTTCCTTCTTTTCAAGGTGAGAAATCAAACCTCTGAAGGGAAACTAGCTGGGTGGGGATGATACTGATACTTGGTCCTAAACTCAAGTCACTGTACCCAGCATGCCTCGTTTTCCCAAATTATAAACTCCTCACCCTTCCAACTGACGATATGGCCATTTAAAGGACTAATAATTCCCTAACAACCAATCACGTCCTGTCCCCTCCACTTTCACTCCAACATCCTTCTACCCCTTCCCTTCCTACCAAGAGACTTGCAGGTAACAGAAGCTTGATTAGAATGAAACTCTTATCAGATCCCACAATCAAGGACGCAACTTGACAACTGCTCACGCTCATCATTAATGGCAACGTTTCGGTTCGCTTTTAATTGCGGGACCACAGCACCCGGAAATGAAATCTCAAGCGCAACCCACTTGGGACAACCGTGTCATTTCCTTAAGTTGTGCCCGACTGCGAGCGCGGGGTGCACGACCCCGAGCAGACCGCGGACCCCTAGGCACGGTTACCCTGCCTCCTGCCTCGGGCCTGGAAGTCACTCGCACTTCTCGGCCACGAAGTGGGCCCGCGGGCGCGCGATACAGCCCCCCCCCCCGGGCCGCCGCAACGGGCACTCGGCGGGACACGAGGGCTGCACCAGGGCCAGTCGCCTCTGGGGACCGCGTCCGGGCGCGAGGGTGGGTCACTGGACTGATCCCGGGCGGCTCAAGGCGCCCCCAGGTAAGGCCCGCGCCTCAGGCGGGCAGAGGAGGCGACGGGCTCGGCCGCGTCCCTCCAGCCACGACGGCCGGTAGGAGCCCTCTCGGGGTCAGCGAGGCGGGGCGCGCGGCCCGGGCCGGTCTCTGAAGCAGCCGCCGCTCG